CTCCCTCATTCATTTTTCCCCTGACTGATAAAGACCCAATGCAAGATGAGGGAAAAAGGAAAGTATGAACATAACGTTCAGTCAAAGAAAAAATAGACTTTAGGTTAAATACACAGCAATATAAACCCAAGGAAGCTGAGGAGGGGACAAGAGGAAAACAAAGACTCTTCCTGCAGGTGCCAGGACCCTTCCCCTGTAACTTGCAGGAAGAAGTGACCCTTATTTCCCCCTCTGAGCACCATTTGCTGGGACCAGAAGTGTTTCTGCAAGCCTGCCCATCAGCGCCTCAGCTGTTTCAGACCCCACGCTCTGTGCCCGTGTGCTCAGAGCCAGCCCTGGGGACGGGGCCGGCAGGGACAGGGTTAACAGCGTCCCCAAAGGAGGGGACCGGGCTCTGCCTCACCCGGCCAGAGGTGAAGGCTGCCAGGAGGAAATTGCTGCTGCAGCTCCAGCGAGATCACAAGCGACCTTTCCTCTTGGAGAGGGGTGAAGTAAACAACACTGATCTGGGATTTAATGTGCTCGAGACAAGCAGCGCTTTATCTCTGCTCCACACCACAAGGAGCAGGGAGGCACAGGGATGATTTTCCTGTTTTTACCACATAAGCCACCTCTTAGCCCAGCACTCAAGTTGAGCTGAAACATTTCATGGAAAGATCTGTCTTGGAGCAGTAGGTTATGGGCTTGCACAACATGCCACACAAAACTTCTTCGTGCAGTTCAACCTTTGGCAAAGGCGCCCTGAGCTCTCCTTGGTGGGTTGATATTTTTACTCCATGAAATTTTCACTTCCTCCAGACTGTTTCCTTTAGGAAGGTATCAGGGGACATGCAATCCCTGTTCTTTCTATTTTGGATTTTTTTTCCATCAGTAAACATAAATCCTTCCCTTTCCCCCTCTACACAGTTGGAGATTCTGGCAGAAGGAAATCTGACAGGGATTTTTGACAGTGGATTTCTTCTGTCTATCATTTTTACTATAAGAATGACATCTGACTGCCTCATATGAAAATATGGAAATTTTCCACCAGGATTTTCCTAAATAAACCTCCACAGGCCAAGAGACAGTGAGAACTCCTTTGGGTGCCAAATGAGAAGGGCTGGAGGACACCCTCAGTGAGGGTTAAATAGATGAGACACCTTTGCCTCCATAAACTCCAAACCTTTGCAGAGATTGATCCATGGAAATCAGATCACAGGATCCAGACTTAGAGGAAATCAGGCATTCAGCAGAAAATCATCACTTTCTGTGTGGTTTGAGCCTGAAGCAGAGCTTTGCAGGAGCAGGGATCCACGCCTGCATGCCCTACAGGAACACTGCTAGGAAAATAACCCCTCAAACCTGGAGCCCACTGGAAAAGTCTTTTCCACAGGCTTAGTCATACCAGGGCAGAGAGGGCAGAGCCTCATTTCATTATGCAGCATGCTGGCACAGCACCAAAGCTCTGCCAAGCCCTGCACCTGAGCCAGGAAGCATCCAGGGAGCTGATTCCAATGCAGGGATAAGCAGCTCAGGCACCTTAATGGATGTGCTGGACCAAGGATATGCAAGAGGACACAAAACCAACTTTTGAAACGGAATCTGAAGCATTTGGTTCGAAGGACAGGAAGTCAGTACTGGCATTCCATGCTAAGGAAACCATTACCTCACCTGTAGGTTGTCTCCTGAGTTTGCTTTTCCCCTGGGCTCAGTATAAAGTGTTATATTGACACAAGCAAGCGGAGAAGTTCCGTAATTTAATCTCTGCCATTAAAATTTCAGGCTCCACGGGAAAAGAAACCCTGCCTGTTCGTCAGGTCCAGCAAAATTCAGGTGGCAGCCAGTGTCACATTTCCACAAACTCCACAAACTCTGCAGCACCAGGCTGCTTCCAGCATGGGGGGGGAGGAAGGAAGGGCATGAGCCGTGCAGTTCAGGGAGAGCATGCTGGCCTGCAGTGCAAACTCATATTAATAATTCAGGCCACTCTATTTTGGACTGGAAATGTGCTGCCCCTCACCTGTACTGCTCAAGGCAATGCCTGAAATAGAAACTCCAGCAGGAGCAGCCCCGAGGGCAGTGCCAGCAGCCTGGCAGGGCAGTGCCAGCAGCCTGGCGGGGCGGGCACTGCAGGGACAGCCTCTGCAAGGTCAGCCCTTCCCTTTGGTCAGGGAGTCTTGGCTGAGCTGTGACAGCCCAGAACTCTCCCCCAGACTGGTGGGTGCTGGTCTGCCCTCCTGTGAGCCCAGCCAGGCAGCCAGGAGGCAGGAGGAGGATTTTCATAAGGAATACTGAACTCCTGCCCAGTGCTGCCATGCCTGTGCTGGCACTGTCACCTCCCTCAGGACACCACACGGTGCTGGGGCCTTTAACAGCTCAGCCCTGCCACAAGTGATCCCTGCTCTGCTGCCTGAAGTGACTGCTTTTTATAGATTTTACCTCAGATCCTGAAAGCTGGATGACCAAATCTCTTTCAGGAAATTATTCTACCTTAAGCACTGGCTTTCGGAAACGCATCATCTGACTTTCTGGAAAATTGCAAATGTTGCATTGTCAGAAAACACAAGTCACAGGGCTTCACAAGTGGTTCTCCTGCACAGGCTGAAGTCACTGCTGCAGTTTTACTGGCATTCTCTGGCTTGTGCTGTCCTTAGCCAGCTCCTAAGTGAATAATTTGAAAAGTGGTATTTGATGTGGTTGAGCTCAAAGGGAGAGCAAGGATTGTCCCGGAGCACTGTCATTCCAGGCATGGCATCTCTGCTCCCTGGAGCTTTTCACAAGCACAATTTCCAGCACACCTCAAACCACTGAGTGCCTAAAGCTATGCAGTTTGGTGCTAAGCACCACAACGATGCCTTGCTTATCACACAAGTTATCAGACATCAGAGCAGCTGTAGCACCACAATTCCTGAATCTGCAGTGGCTCCTTTCTTAACAAAGCAGAACATGAAAAAAACTTGGAACAACCAGTAACTGACAGAAGAAACAAACTGGAAGCTGTTAGTTTTGTAAATCAATTAAAATAAAAGGGAAGGAAAAAAAATAAACAAGAACAAGCCAAGACTTCAGCAACGTGCTTCCTTCTGCCAACTGCAGAAATTGATTTGTGCCAATGGAAGGGGAGAGCCAGAACAGCCCAATTCACTCTCCTCAGAAAGATGCTGATGCTGAAATCACACCACATGACCCAAAATTTGAGACAATTGCTGGAGAATGAGAACTGCTCCAGAAGGAGATGGTGTGTCATGGTGTGATGGGAAGGGTGTGCTATAGGAATTAACAATGATGGGAAGAGTGTGCAATAGGAATTACTCCCAATGACGGGAAGGGTGTGCAATAGGAATTATTCCCAATGATGGGAAGGGTGTGCAATAGGAATTACCTGGGATGAGAAGGGCGTGCTACAGGAATTACCTGGGATGGGAAGGGTGTGCAATAGGAATTACCTGGGATGGGAAGGGTGTGCTACAGGAATCACTGTAAGCCTGAGCCCAGCTCCAAGGCAAGGGACGATGTGACAGCAGTGAATTCTGACTCCAAGCACTCAGCCTTTCTGTGTAAGAAAAGGGATTAATCAGGTTTTTTCATTTTCAACACTGTGCATCATCACTACCCACCTTCCTGACTCCAACAAGTGATTCCTCACTTCTTACCACAGGGTTTGGTGGCACAGCCAGCCCGTGCTCTGCCCCTGCCAGAACCCAGCTGTGCTGCAGAGGGGGAGAGCTGTGCCATGCTCAATTGCAGGGCATGCAGGAGCACTGAATGCAGGCCCCTCCTTCTTCATTTATGTATTTATTTGTCCACTGCAACTTCCAAGCAGAGCCTTTCCCTGCTCCTCCGTGCACAGGAGGAGCTGGGACTGCCCTGTCCCCAGTGGGATGTGTTTAGGGCTTGGTGACCTGTTGTTTCAGTGACCTCAGGCCTCTGCAGCAGAAATGATTGCTGAGAGGGCTCAGAGGAAGTGAGATTTCTGCTTCTAACAATAGTAATTCCTGTGATCTTTTATTTTCTATACCAATTCATGGCTGAAAAAACAACTTATATGTTATATGTAAATTGATTTTTAAGCCATTTTGTTAAAAAATAAGAAGCATTAGCATTTGTTAAAAAATAATACGCAAGTCACTTCCCTGAAACCCCTTGTTTTCTTTTTTAGGACCACAGCCTGCTTTGAAACTTACTAGAGTTTACTTTTTAGCCCAGGAATTTTACTGTGAACATCCGCTGGCTTCTGCTTCTGGGATGGATTGTGCTTTTGTTGCTTAACTACGAGCCTGCTCTTTTACCTTCCCTGGGTGTAAAGACAGGGAAGAAATGAATACAGAAATTAATAATATGTCTTTACACAGAATATGTGTAAAGACATATTATTTATATACTTATATATTTATATACTTACAGTGCAAGTGACTGTAAGTGCAAGTATTCAAAACCTGAATGTTTTCCAATGGAGATCCGCACTGGATATGGGGGAGAATTTTTTCCCCATAAGGATGGGGTGGCACAGGATGCCCCTGGATCCCTGGAAGTGTCCAAGGCCAGGCTGGACAGGGCTTGGAGCACCCTGGCATAGTGGATGCAGTCTTGCCCATGGCACTGGAAGGGCTTTAAGCTCCTTCCCACCCAAACCTGTGGTTCAGCGGTTCCATGGCAAATCCAGAGCCTACCTAGGAGCCAGCTCCATCCCAGCTGCCCTGCCCGGGGCATTCCCGCGGCTCTCCCGGGATGCTCCGCTGCGCATCGCGGCGGTCCCTTCTCCCGGGATGCTCCGCTGCGCATCGCGGCGGTCCCTGGGGCCGCGCCGTGCCCGGGGGTTCCTCCCGGTGGTTCCCGGGGCTCCTCCAGGGGGTTCCCGGTGCGCGGGCTCCCGCCGGCCGCCCCGGTGACGTCAGCGCCACGCCGCGGTGACGTCAGGAGCGGGGCGGGCGGCAGCTCCCGGCGCGCCCCGCGCAGGGCGGGGGGCGGGAGCGGCGGCGCGGGGAGCGCGCCCGGCGCTGCGCCTCCATCCCTGCCCGCCGTGCCGCCGGCATGTTCTCCAGGAAGAGCCACGCCGACGTCAGGAAATCCACGCAGAAGGCGCTGGACCCCAAGCGGGACGTGCTGACCCGCCTGAAGCACCTCCGCGCTCTGCTGGGTGAGCGGGCGGTGGGCGCGGGGGGAGCCGGCCCCCGGGGCCCTCAGCCCCTCGGGGGGTGCCCGGGCAGAGCCGCGGCCGCGGGCGGGTCTGCGAGCGCTGCTCGCCCTCCGCTGCCGCGTCCGGGAGACAGCAGCGAGCCCGGGGAGCCGCTCTCCGTGCTGTGGGCAGGGAGCCTCCCCAGGCAGCCCCGGGCTCTCCCCGCCGCAGAGGCGGCCCCGGTGCGCGCCCTCCGTGAGGCGCTGCCGGAGAAAGTTTGGGGTGCCCGGGGAAAGTCGCGTGTGTCGCTGTCCCGGGGCTCGCCTTGGGCTGGGTGTGGAACCGCGGGGAAACGCGCAGACCTGGTCAGTTTCGGAGACGCGCTCGCAGAAACTCCGCTCTTGTCAATATCATCAACTCGGGGCTCTTTGCTGGGTGTTTGAACTCTGAGAGAAGTCGCGCTGTGGCGTTTTGTGGTGACTCCATGCTTGGGGCAAGGCTGTCCAAGGGCGCCTTGCAGGTGACGGCTTCCACCCTGGTCATGGTGGAAAAGCCGCCGATGAGTTTCAGCTGTGATCCTGCTGCAGGTGGAAAAGCCGCCGATGAGTTTCAGCTGCGATCCTGCTGCAGGTGGAAAAGCCGCCGATGAGTTTCAGCTGTGATCCTGCCGCAGGTGGAAAAGCCGCCGATGAGTTTCAGCTGTGAGCCGCGGTTCGGGAGGGTTTTGTGGCCTCTGTTGGCTGCTCACACGCGGCAGGAGCAGGGTGTCCTGAGGGGAAGAGGCTGTGCCCGGTTAGTGCTGTACCCTGCTGGTTTGTTCCAGGTGCGGCGATCGTCGCCGATGTGCCACCGATGTTCCTTGGGAGCTCCTTAAGGAGCTGGCTGGGAGCAGCCGGTGGGGGACAGAGCGTGGGGTAGATTTGGCCTGGACTTCTCAATTAAAGTTGTTTGCGGGCGCTGGTTTCAGGTGAAGGCTGTTGTGGGGCTGGCAGGGGCTGTGGTGTGTCCAGCTGGTCAGTGCAGGCACTGTCCGAGCAGCTCTGGGTGTGCTCCTGATGTGTCTGCTCTTGGCAACTCCGGTGTAAACATTTGAGGTAGCACGGGAGTGGCTTCTGGAAGATGCTCTCTTGAGAGATACCCTCGCCTGGGTGTCTTCTGTTCACCACAGAAAAAAAACTCCACGCGTGGGAGTTGTTAAAAAAAATCTCCAGCATGTAAAGCTTTTGCCATAAAGGCTCAAAAGTAGTTAGATTTTTTTTTTTTCCTTCTCCCCAGATGTGTCTCTCCTTGCCCTGGCCAGCAGTAGGAATGTGTGTGTCTGTCTCTCCAACTGCTTCCCTTGGGCCACAGTGCCACACGTCCCCCAGATAGCTGTTCCTTCTCTCATGTTTCCTTGGGAGATGCCAACTCCCCTTCCTTTGTTAGTTTAAATCACAGGAATTTAATTGTAAACAAAATGTTAGTTACTCCTCTGTGATCCCACTGATTTGCAGGAGGATACAGATCAGAGGGAAGATGATCATAGGGGAGGGATGAGCAAAAGGAATGTGTGTTTCCATAAATAAGGGCTCATGTGAGCTTTGGATTGCTTCAGGTCCCTTAGTGGCACCTCTGTAAGTTTGTCCAGTGCCCAAAGTGAAAGAAAAGATTCCTCTTAAGTTGGTGTTGGTTATGACATCTCTCAAGCCTCCAGTGGCCTTTAGGATCTGAGTTCCAGCTCTGTGGGGTGCTCTGTCCACATGGCAGGGGCAAAATGCTACCCAGATCAACAACAGGACTTAAAATTGGGTGTTCGGTTGTGTTTGAGAAATGACCAGAAAATTTCCTGTACTTCTTTATTGCTATGGAGACGTTCTCACAGCCAGAACTTCTGTTAAGTTAGTAAAGTTCTAAATGCAGCTTGTGGAAGTGCCTTTTAGTAGTGTGGCCTTTTTTTTTTTTTTTTTTTTTTTTTTTTAAGATAGACTTAAAAAATAATGGCCTGACAAAGAGTAGTGGGGATGTGCAGAGTTGGCTCTTCCCCACTGCCTGGCCATAAATGAAGCCTCTGCTCTTTCCCAGAGTGGTTTCTGTGGGACTTTCGTAGGACAAAAACGGATCAATGCGCCTTAAGAATTTTTTCTGCGGCTCTTCTTGGGTAAAAATATCCTTTTTATATTGAAACTTCTCTTTCAATAGTGTTTTCTCCTTTGGCACAGGAGTCAGAAGTGCTGCTGCTAACAGATGTGGGATGCTGCTTTGTCCAGTGCTTTCAGTCCTTTCTCTGTTGAGCAAACACATGGGAGATGCACAGAGTTAAGACTAAATGTGAAATTTGCAAGGTTACCAAGTGCAATCCTTGTTAATTGTTGCCTTTAAAACGTACCCATTAGGAAAGCCCATGCTTTCCATGGAAGTGCCTTGATCAGAGATGGGATAACAAAGGAGAGTTAGTGGGGTTTTGGTTCTGGCACTGCTTGACCTCTTGTAGTATTCTGCACAGCTGCAGGACCAATGCTGGCTGGGTAGAAACTTTCATTTACTGACAGTCAAAAGGGGATGTGTGCAGACTTCCTGCTGCATTCAGGGCTGGGATTGTTCTGCAGAGCTGGTGTGAAATTGGAGGTGTCAACATCATTTTGGAAGTTGTTCCAGCTGGAGGGGTGTTTTGGTAACGGGCTGTTTCACGCTGACATACTTTTTTTGAAGATAAGTAAGAATTGTGCATTATTTCTGGGGTGAGGCTGGTCATAAAGGTTTATCATTAACCAGGGTGTGGCTGCAAAATTCTCTTCATCTCCTTTAATTTTTCAAGTACTTGAGGATTAAGAGAGCTTTGAGAAAATAGCATGAAGTGACTTTGGAAGTTCATGGAATTAAGGGATGATTTCTAACAGGTGCCTGTGATAACATTTGCCAGTTAAGAGGAAGATAAAAGGCAAGTCCATGTGCTAAGGACATGTTTGGTGTCCCCTCTGGGTTTTTTTTTAGTATGAGGAAGAGCAATGAGAGTTTGGCAATAGACTCAGGCTCTTAAGTGGCACCTGAGTGTTACCCTAAATTTTAAATTTAATAGTAAGGCGAGTCAGTGTGACTGACAGTTATCAGTGTGCCAACACATCCTATTTATAGAGAAGAAATAGGGTGTGACCCTGCTGAGTGTCTCAGTGTTTCCTGAGTGTTGCTGCAGCAGCTACTGTCAGGTGTTAGCTAGACTTGTGAGCTTGTCCTGTGTGGGAAAGGGGAAATTATTTGGGTTTGGGGTGGCTGCTGGTGCTTGCCTGAGGGGTGAGTGCTGCATGCCTGCGTGCAGCTGTTGTAACCTGGGAGATAGTTCCATGAACTTACTCCGGGAGTAAACACAAAAATAAACCCAAATTCCTGCAGTTCAGCCCCAAGCTTGCTGCCTCATTTCCTCGGGTGCTTCTGAATACTCCTTCAGGCAGTGCATTTCCCCAAAGTCAGGGTTTTATCTTGTTATTATTATCTCAAGCGATAAATGGCACAGGAAACTTTCCCCCGTGTTTTCCATGTAAGAAGCAGGAATGGGCCCCGCTGCAAGTTAAACACATCTGTGAGAAAGGGCCCTGGCTGTAGGGATGCAGCTCAAATCACACTCACCCCTGAGTCACCACCGAGATGCCACATTTAGAAAAAAGGAGGATTTGCTTTCTTGGTGAGGCAGTTCCTTTCTCTTCCCGTCGCAATTTAGAGGGAAAGTTTCCTTTTTGTTTAGAATTTAATGACCTCATTCCCTCATATGAAATCCCTGTAAATGAAAGCCTTGTTTTCCCCTGGAGTTGTGTTTAACAGGATGCATTCATGGAGAGGAATAATTGCACTTAGCTTGCAAATTCAGACCAGTAGTTTGCAGGAAACAAATATCACGTTAAAGAGTTTCCCTGCTCTAATTGTTTCCATAGTACAAGCAGCCAAGCAGAGCCTTACTGCTGGAAAGGTACTGATTTAAATAAAAATCAGGTTGTCCAGGATTAAAGGTATTCTTTCTTCTGTACTTGTGGGATATTATTGAGCCCTCTTGCTGGAATCAGCTTTATTTTGGGTAACAAATGGGTTTCTTGTAAGGTGAGGTTTCAATGAGGATATTAATATTGATATTAATTTTGGGCCCTTCACCCTCTTCTGGGGGAAATGACCCAACTTTCCTTGACCAAATCAGTTGCAGTAAAGACTAAAGGGAGGAAATTCATGTGTGTTTGGCAAGTGTCAGGCTTAGAAAAGAGTGGACTTTTTTATTTGTAGAAAATAAACTTACTTCCAATTTCAGGCCCAAGTTAACACTTAGGGAAGTGCTACATGCTCGAGTTGCCATTATTCTAAGAAATGAATTGAGAATATGCTGTTTTCTGGTTTGATCTGCTTGCCAGATGAATGCAAGAGCTGAAATTGCATCCAAAAAGTTTTGCTGGTGTTTTTCTCCAGCAGTACCTGTTTGTTTTGATGGTATAGAGGCCTTTTGGTTACACAGCTAAGAGTCAACCCATCTTTTTTTTCTTTCTTCTTTTTTTTTTCTTTTTTCCCTTTTTTCTTCTTTTTTTTCTTTATCTTTTTCTTTTTCTTTTTTTCCTTCTTTTTTTTTTTCTTTTTTCTTCTTTTTCTTCAATTTATTTTTTAGTGGAAAGCAAACGAACCAAAGCCCCACTGCAGACTTCATAAATTCAGTGAAATTCTTTGCAAGGATGGACCAACAGTTTAGTACAAAATACTCAGTGAACTCACTAAAATGGTTTTGTATTGCATTTGTTTCATTCTCTAAAGCTAAATTTGCAGAATCCCTGAAATTCTGGTCTTTCTGCTCTTGTGTAATTGCTCTGTTCCTCTTTTCAGATATTGTGGATGGAAGTGACCTGAAGCAGTTTTTTGACAACAATTATTCTCAAATTTATTTTATATTCTATGAAAACTTCATAACACTGGAAAACAGCTTGAAACAGAAAGGTGAGTTTTAGAGTTTTTCCAGCAGCTGTTGGTCAGTGTTCCATAACTGTGCTCCAGGGCATTCCATTAAAGCCTAGTTGTCTAGTCCTCATTTTTCTGTATTTACACTAATAGTTTCCTGCAGTACAGTGTGAGTGTTAATCACTTTAATTTTATGGTAGCAGGAGAGGTGAGCATGGAAAATCACTCTGCAATGAGAGCAGCAGCTGATCACATTTCTGGGTTCGTTTCAGCATTTACATGCCCGTCCTCTCAGCTTGCTCCAGGCTCCTGCAGCTCCCTCTGCTCAGCTGAGACACAGCCAGAGCAGAGAGGGGCACTGCAGCCTGGGCACAGCTCACACTTGGGATCTTTATTTAAGATAAGAAATAAATTGAGTGGCATCTTTGACTTTAGCTGAACAGCAACAGCCTAATTCTGCTGTCCTTTATTGTATGTTTCTGGCAAGCAATGTTGTTTTGTGTCTTGCAGGGAATAAATCACAAAGGGAGGAGCTGGACTCCATCCTCTTTCTTTTTGAAGTAAGTTTTCCATACCATGAAAACTAATTTGTGTTTTGAATCTCACTGTCATTCTGTGGTTGCTTAGAGCTTTGCAGTGAGGGGTGAAACCAGGTGTCAGTCACCTGAATTAAGAGATGTTATCAAAATGCCCTGGAAATCCAGCAAGAACACCTCTGGCCTGAGCATCTGGGAGCTGATGCTCTGAAATCAAGCCAGGGGTTTTGGTGGAATTTGGGAGCACTACTTGCAATCAGTATTTGGTTCTGTTATGCTAAGGCTTTCAGGAAGTTTTCTGCTTTCTGCTGTTTCTCTTCTGTTTCAATTAAACAAGAGTTTGCTCCTGTGTTTCATGGAAGGCCACTTCAGAAGAGGAGCAGCACTTTCCCCCTGCTCTGTGTTTGTTTTGCCTGTGTCCCAGCAGGAGGCTGGGCTCTGCTCCCCTCGCCTGGAGGCATCTGTTGTGATTGCAGTGTTGGGTCTTGCAGCTCAAGGGAAATAAAAGGACAGGAGCTGTCAGCTACTGCACATCGGTTTGATCTGAGTGTGTGAAATGCTGATTTGCTAATTTGGTTTTTTTTTTTTTATTTTTGTTCAGTATAACATCTTTCATTTCCATATCCTTCCCTCCTGCCCAGCACTGGCCACCAGAGCATTGGCAGTGTCTGGGGAAGAAATTTACCTAGTTAACTTTTGCATAATCAAATTAGGATTGCTTTAATTTAAGCGAGAATAGTCTGGGTATTCTAAGGTACCTCTTTGACTGCAGTTATTAACTAAATGTAGTTGGATGTGAGAAAATATCACTGGACCAGATGAAAGCCTGACACATAAAAATATTCTTAAAATGCACACTGAAATTCTCAGCTTAAGCTCTGCCTGTCTCTAGTCAAAAAGCTTTGGCAGTTAATTAGGTAAATAATTGGCCAGATTTCTCTCTTAAGGTTAAACACACATAATCTACTGATTTCTTTCTCTTTTCTTTATTTCTTTCTCTGTTACTCCAACTACTAACTTTTTACCTGAGTATTACATCACAGAAATGTCATTTTTGTTTATATGTTGGGGTTTGTTTGGTAGGAAAAAGCCCTTCAAACTTTCAGTGGGACTCTAGAAATTGAAGCTAAAGGTTAATTGTTCTCAACTCCTCTCCCTCCCTCTAAAACACCCCCCAGACCCTCAGAAGTATGTGTCTTCATGGTTTTGCATTAATGAGTAGTTTGTGGTTGAAATGGAATTTGTAGTGACAAGAAGAATGATGCTGTTTAGCCTAATGTGCCTGTTGTGGGGAAAAATGGCCATGAGAATGATGACATGGAATCCTGGGCTTTTGTGATCTTGAATTCTCACTTTGCTGCCTCCTTTTCCTCCTCTCCCTCATTTCCCCCTCTGTGAGACCGGATTTTCACCCTGAGATCCAAGCTGTGCTTTCTGCTCCTTGTGACATTAGCACGGGTCTGCTCTGGGGTTGTGCCCGAGGCAGTGGCAAAGAACACAAGCTCACAAATTTGCCAGGGCTGTTTGGGGCAGGAGAAACTCTTCCTCCTCCTCCTCCTCTTCCCCCTCAGTGCCCAGCCCAGCAGAGAAGGTGTTGCTGTGCAGGTTAATGGAAGCTCGTTAATACGCTGGGGCCTTGAATAAGGAATGACACTGAATAGCAAATAGCCAATGCTTGCTCATCTGGGTGGAGGGAATAACTGGGCATTCCCAGGGCTTGGAAAGGGGTGGCCAGTCACCACCCCTTAATACTCCTTAAAAGCAGTGGGAGGACTTGCTGTCTGAAGGATAAAAAATGGATGGTTGTGTCTGAAGCAGGGGCTGCTTGGGGTCCCAGTGGAGGAGAGCTGTGCAACAGCCTGGTCACCCTGGGGGAGAGGAGATCCTTTCAGTGTTTCTGTGGGATTCAGAGTGATTCCCTTCATGGTGGGGATCTGCTGGGTTCAGTGTGCACTCCATGGATAGCTCACCCTGGGTGAGAACAGCCCGAGAGCCTCAGCACAGGACAGGGAGTCAGAAATGCCAAGTGATGAAACATTCATACTCTAAGCCATAGGAAACAGAACTAATTGATTGTTAAGCTTTCCATATTTAGTGTGATGTCAGCAGGAGCCAGGGGGATGCTGCATATTCTGCTAATTAGCTAAATGGGTAGTTACTTAGGATTAACAAATCCTGAGTCCCCAGGCTGAGGGTCAACAGCTTAAAAATCAATAAAAATATTTATGAGGGAATTGCTGCCTTTGCCTTTCCTGGAGGTTTACTGAGGGTTGTGCTGCTGTTTTGGAGTGACACCTAGTGTGTGTATTGGGCAGCAAGGCTTTTCCCACAAATCCTCTGGAAACTGACTTGGCTTGGTAGTAATTTATGGAAGTTCTAATTTTACACATAAGCTGCACAGCTTGGCCACACAGTAACTTCAAACAGCATGTTACTCAAAGAAGAAATGTTAGCCAGCAGGGAGGAATGCCAAGGGTTAACTGTTGCAATTAATCCTGCAAAATGCTCGGCTCTAACTCTGTAAGATGCTTTGGCCTTGTCTTTTCCCAGATAGATATTTGTAAAGTGATATGGCAGCAGTACTGTTATTTTTCCCTGTTTCAGCTAAGAGCTCAAAATTATGTGACACACAATTTTTTTTCTGCCGAGGCATGGCTCTCTCTCTGTATTTGCAGTGCATTTGCAGAACAGGTTGCTATTGTTCCTTGTGTCCCTGTTCCCTTTTGAGGGAGCAGCTTGAAACCTCAGGTTTGAGGGCAGCTCTGAGCCCTGTGTGTCACAGACCTGCCAGGAGGTGCACTGTATTTGTGTCCATTTTTTGGCACCAATAACAGTATTGTTGGTTATATATTGGTTATATACATATCTGTTTGTGAAAGTTTGGGGTTTTTTTTTAATAATAAAGTGTTTTTTCTTTCTTGCAGCATCAGATACTGATTCCTCTGACACTGTGGTTTTTTTAATCACTAATGAAGTAAAAGCAGATTGGTGGTTTTGTGATACATAGATCAATTTCTTCCCACTCTCTATAATTTTTCTTCTTTAGTTAAGAACAGTCACATCTGCTGTGCTGGTGGTGTCATAAAATTCATTCCACTGATCTAATTTCACTGGATGACATGTTTTATGCTGAGAATTTTTCAGATGTAGGAAACCTCCCCCAAGTCCATGTTTTGTGTGGAGTTTGCGGTTTCTTGACCCTGATGCAGATGTGAATGCTGAGTCTCAAGCTCAGTAGAGTAACAAAGGGGCTTTTTTGTTTATAACAGTAAAAGTGCTTGTAGCTCTACTTTTCTACACACAGAAGATTACTTTTGGAATCATTTACAGTTTGTTCTGCCATAATTCAAATAACATTGCTGCTATTCTTACAGCATTCTCTGGTAAATTCTAGCTGCATGTTTTACTTCAGAGATCTTACTGTTTCTTGTTATGCCAGGGGCAGTGATAAGTGCCCTGTGTGCTTTGGGCAGACATTTTCCCTCAACAAATAACTGTAAATCATTTATTAATGCAATAAATGGAGTATCCCTTCATTGAGCTTGAGCTGATGCAGGCACACTGACTCCATTGGCCTCTTGGCTCCAGGGGTGGGTTTGCCCAGTGAGGGCACCTTGGGGGTGGCTGTCATTGATCCAAGACCATCCTGGCACATCCAGAGCAGCAGAACAATGTCTCCCCATGGCTGTGGGGCTGGGAAACATCTTCTGGGATCCCAGGTGAGGTTTGGGCCAGCCTCAGCCTGCCCAGTATCCTGCAGCAGGTGATGGGCACAGAGCTGCCAGTCAGGGCGGGATTCAACCAGGGGGGCAAAAGCAAAAAGCTTTGAAAAAGAAATAGCAGTTTTGGTGAAGTCAGAGGGAGTCTGTTGAAATATGAGCCTCGGTAGTTTTTATTTTGTTTCAATAAAAGAGAGAGACACAGCTTTCAAAAAGCAGCATCCTGTGTAAACTAAGATTTAAACTTAACATTATTCCTAGTCATGCAGGAAGTCCAAACGAAAAAGAACTATGGATAATCAGTTAAAAGAACTGACAGATACCCTGATGTGTTGATCAGTAGTAATACCTAATTTCTATTTCAAGTGTGTTATAATGGATTACCATATAGATGCAGCAAAGCACTAAGCATTAAATAGATCTATGTGTTTTCTGAAAAAGCAATATTATTTTGCACTGTGGGGTTTCTTAAAATATTTCTTATTAGTGTAGTGTGAAACTAGGAACAAGATGTCAATAGCCAGCTCAGATTCACAGCGGTGTGGCTGATAGCCTGGGCTGGAGGGGAAGAAACTCTCATTTGTTACATAGCAATAGCAGTGCATGTTCTTTAGAGCACCAGGGGTGGGGAGGGTGTACAAAATGTTGCTGGAGACGTGAAGTTGCAAAGGAAACAGCTGGAGCTGGTTCACGACTTGTGCAGTCTCATGTCACGCTGCAGCACCACCTCAGTCTGAGACTGAAGGGCAAAAACCACCAGCTGGAAGCTGTGCTGGTGGGACTGGGGCTTAGCTTGTAACCTTCAGAGTTTATATTCAATGACCTAGACTTTGCACCTGGGTGACTTCTTTTTGCATTGCAGGAGCAGAGGCGGGTTCTGCATTCGTACCATTTAGGGTGGCCCTGCTGTGCTGCAGAGCTGTGCTGTCTGCAGTGCAGGAGGGGGACAAGGTTGCTTTCTGAGGATGCCTTGCTGTGGGGCAGGACCATGCAGGTGATCCGTCACACCCTTGCATTTTTTCAAGATACATAGATTTATTGTTTTCCTGGTTTTGAGATGCTGAAAAGGAGAATGCAAGGGAAGTGACTTCAGTGTCTACATTTTTTTTTGCTGTGTGAAAAGACTTTGGTATATGGGAGCTTTTCTCAGATAGGAACTTCTGTCCTCTTACTGATGGATTGAACCCTTGATTGTTTTGATTCATTCACCTGACAAGGGTGTTGGATTCTGTGTTTTGTAAAGAGAACAGAATGGTAAGCTTGTTGTTTTCTGCCCTGACCCCCCCAGTTTTGTGCAGTTTAGAGTTTAGGCTTGTTTTTCCTGCTTGTTGTTGAACTGTGCAGCATTTGTTTTTCTGCTTTTCTCTGGATACAGCATAAAATTCTCTGAGACTTGGATGTGAAAATTGTTACCAAATTCTTTGTCAAATGGGTCTTTATTCTGAAGCTTTGCACTTTTCCAGCCTATGAAGCTCGGACCTCATCACAGCTCACTTTCTGGAAGGGAGCTTGGTGTTCAAATTTAGATGAAACTGTGTAACAGACTAAAACAATGGAAACAAAATCCTTGTGCTTTTGTCTGGTTTTCCATGATAGATGTGCCAGTGTATGAAGCTTCCTTCCTGCAGTGTGACACCTGAACCCAGCCCAGTTTTTGTTGCTGGTTTGCCGTAGGGTTTTGTTTCCTGGAGCTTTTCCTCGCACACCTCGGGCACACGGCTTGTGGTGAGCCTGGGCACAGACCCAGCTCCCACGCAGAGCTCCTGGGTCAGGTTGGGTTAGGAGTGCTCCTGGGTTAGCTTAGGACTCCTTTCTGCCCTGTGCCAAGCTAATTAATGATTAATGCCAGAAATAGTCTGGAGGAGTGGTGGGCTGCCAGTGTTTCAATGTTTAGATGCATAACGATAACTCTTTGTCCATGGATCCTGCAATCTGATTGGCAGAAGCCTGGTGCTTAACTAACAGGTAAAGCCCCAATGTGAGTCATGGCCTCATTTTTAGCCAGTCAGATCCTTCATCCCAAGCATTCCTGCTGCCCACAGACAGGGAGCTCGACCTCTGGACCCTCTGCTCCTGGGGTCCTGCTGCCATGGTGTGCTAGGGAGGGAGCTGGGGGAGTGACACTGAAACAAAGTACAAGGAACATGGAAAGGACCTGCCTGGTTTGCATTTTTATTCTGATTAACCTTTCAGAAGTGCTGTTTACTGTGTGGGGAACACATGCTATGGTGGAGGTGTGGAGGAGGACCAGCCTGTCTGTGACCTGAGGTCCAGCTCCCTGGGTCCACAAACTTGTCATGACTACCATCCTCTGCCGTGGAGAAAGGAATGTTCCATGTCCAAAAAAGACTGTTCTGAGTGTTGAATATAATTTCTGAAGCCCTTTATTGTCAAAAGCAAGAGGTCTGTCCTGCTCCATGTCTCGAGCACATGCTCTGGCAGTGGTTGTGACTCTGTCCCCCGGCTCCCAGGCGTGGCCCACAGTGCCAGCTGCTTTCTGGGCTGTGATGCTTTGTTTTTTCCTGTGAGTTTCTGTGTGCAAAACACCCTCAAATGTGTCACTGTTGCTTAGGTGACCTATCATCCATTTGAATCTTGCATGTGGTATTACTGAGAACTTAGAGGTGCTTTGTTGTGCAGAAACTGGTGCCAGTCGTTTTGTTTGATAATTGCAAGGAACTCTTGACTGTCAGTCACTTATAATGTTGTTTAATTTCATTTGATTTCCAAACGGAAGTGGTCAAAACCAGTTTCCTGTTTAAATACATCTTCCTAATTATTTCAATGGCTGAAAAGTTGTAAGTTGGAGACATTATTTGTGTGAAGCCCTGTGTACTGCCAGACCTTTGTGAGGTGGAGCAGCAGTAGGTGAGCTGTGCTGCTGCCACACCCGTGGCTGAGCCCTAGTCCATGCTGCCAGTAGTTTAAAAAGAAACTCTGTTTGTATTCCCATCTCATTTGTATGTCGTGCATCTGTTTCTCTGTATCCTCTGATGAACCAGTTTTATTACAGAAAATTTGACTAGTTTTGTTTCCTGCAGAAAATATTGCAGCTGCTACCAGAGAGGATTTTTTATCGATGGCATTTTCGCAGTATAGGTAAGAAGAAATTGTTTAAAAAAATTTGGACTTTTTAGTAGTGTTTTCAGATCAATTTTTCTTTTAATGAGCAATATATGAGTTGAGTTATGAATACACGGTATTTCTGCAAGTTTGACCCCAGCTGTCTTTCCCAGATTCTCATGAAATGGGGGATTTTCCCAGCATCCTGTTAGAATATGGCCTTGGCCATGACAGACAAGATACTCATGGGTGGCTTCCTCAGACCAAGACTGTTCTTTCCTCCCACTCTGGTGGTATGGAAGTTTCTGGAAGAAGGGAGGGAATAGGAGGAGTCTCGCAGAGAGCAACCTTGGGTGGCCATAACACCTTGAAATCCAGTGAAGTGGTTTAACTTGATCATTTCCTCTGAATCAAGTGCCTTGAATTCGTCAGTGCTTTTCAAATTCTGCTTCCAAATGCCACCAGTGTGGCACCAGTGGGTTTTTATGCTGCTTATTAAAATTTTATGGGGGTGTTCTATTCCTTTCAAGTAGGACTTTTTGGTTGAGGTTGGTTTGCAGCACTGTCTGACCAGCTGCCATTTTTGTCATCAGAACAAGGAATTGCTTTTGCAGAAGAACAATGAGCGGAAGTTAAAGGTCAAGGGAAGGGCTGCTGTCACATTTCCACTCAGCACTGACAAAAACAAGAGGAGACATCTGCCTGGCCACTTCACAACAGTTCAGCTGCACTAGTCCAGACCAAATTGGTTCCACTTGGTTGCTCTGTAGCTGATACATTCTTTATGCTTCTATTGAGTGGTCTTAGTGGCAAAATTTTTTATCTGAGTCCATAAAGTGATGTACAAAATTTGGCAGAGCATTTATTTACACCTCTGCCTTGTGATTTCCTTTTGCTTAACATTTCATGTGCATTAATGTGAATTTCCTATATATGTATATATTAATAATTTCTATATAATCTTGTGAAATGGCGAGATCTTGCCATTATACGCATTCCTTAAATGGGAAGTAGCCCATTTAAGGAATGTGTATAATTCACAGATCTTACTATAAATGAAAATAATTTGAGACATGGTCCTCTGAAGAAAACCCAGAGGAAAGATACATCACAGTTAATCTTGGGTGGTGGTGATTGTAGCTACATTCAGTTGGGGTTTTCCCTCATAGTTGTCTTAATACTCAGTGTAGTGGCCCCAGAATAAATTAATGTAGGATTTCATGAAATATTTTTGAAAACATTGTGGTGGGACGTGTCTGATAATGTCTCCTTAATTTTCCTAATCCAGGGTCGATTCTGAAGAAGCTTTTGCACACTGGAAATTCTCTCAAGGTATCTGTTGATGTTTTCATATTTCTTTTCAATTAAGTTCCTGTCAAGTATGCTACTTTGCAGCCTTCCAATAGCAGTGTTTTCCAGACTGTTAGGCTTTGTAATTTTTTCTTGCTCACCTTTTAATCTTAAATTTTATTATTGTGATCCTTGATTATTTTAATATCTGTTTTCAGTCATTTTGCTGCTCTCATGACCTTTGTGAAGTTACCTGGAGAAGGATATTGCTTAATACCTAATTTTGCTTAATACCTAATGAAGCAATTAGGCATTGATATTGCTTAATACCTAATTTTTTTAGCTTTCTCTGGCATTAGAGCTAGGATTATATTAATAATGTGAATACCCTTGGTATGATGGCTAGACCTTGCAACACCTAGCTGGGATGAAGCTCTCGCCCTGCCTGTTGTGAACTATTTACCCGTGTTACTGCGCTTACAGACCTGTGTCACTGCCCCTTTTTGCCCAAATGCACCCCCTTGCAGCTCAGGTGTGAAGGAATCCGCCTGTTCCTGCTGTGGCTGCAAGCCCTGCAGACCAACTGCGGTGAGGAGCAGATCCTGATGTTCGCCTGCCTGGTGCCCGGCTTCCCCCCGCTGCCGTCCTCGCGCGGGCCCTGCACGCTGGAGAGCCTGGTCAGCCCCCCGGCCGCGCCCGACGGTGAGCCTGCTCCTGGGGGCAGATGCAACCCCTTCTCCTCTGGGATTCAGTCTCTGAACCTGAGAGAAGAGAGAAAAGAGCGATCCAAACCATTCTTCTCTCATCTGCTGCTCCTGTGTTGTGCCAAAATGGGATGCAGCATGGAGGTTGTTTGCCCGAAGCGATGGTGTTTTGTTTCCTTGGCCTATCAGGGCCAAGCGCGTGTCCAGACTGTCAGTCAGGAGATTTTGTTCCGTTGAGTTCTTGTTCAGTTTCAGTTTAGGTGTAGTATAATATAGTATAGAATAATAGTATCATAAAGTAATTAATTTGCCTTCTGGTAGCAATGGAGTCCTCCTCATCATTCCTCCCGCCAGTTGGGCGAAATTTCAGTGATAGGATGGAATCCTCCAAGGACTGTGACGGTGTTCACAGGGGTCTGAGGATGAGGGAAGAGATGTAGATTTGACTCCATGTTTCAGAAGGCTTGATTTATTATTTTATGATATTTATTACATTAAAACTATACTAAAAGAATAGAAGAAAAGGTTTCATCAGAAGGCTGGCTAAGCTAAGAATAGAAAGGAATGATAACAAAGGCAGCTGTCTCAGACTCTCTGTCCGAGCCAGCTGGGCTGTGATTGGCCATTAATTACAAACATTCAACATGGGCCAATCCCAGATCCACCTGTTGCATTCCACAGCAGCAGATAACCATTGTTTACATTTTGTTCCTGAGGCCTCTCAGCTTCTCAGGAGGAAAAATCCTAAGGAAAGGATTTTTCATAAAAAGATGTCTGTGACATAGGACCTCCAAATCCTCCAGGGGGACGTCCAGGTCCCCCTCCTGGAGGAGGAGACAATGGGTGCTGCCCGTGAACCTTCTCCTGGTGTGCCTCTCCTGGAGGAGGGGACAATGGGTGCTGCCCATGAGCTTTCTCCTGGTGTGCCCCTCCTGGAGGAGGGGACAATGGGTGCTGCCAGCTTCTCCTGGAATTCCGAGCTGGCTGCAGTGTGTGTCCGGCTGCTGGGCTGGTGCGGCTCTAGAGCCACCTGCTCCTGTCCCTCTGAGGGCTTGCTCTTCGGCTCTGGGGTGGTTTTAATTCAGATGCAGCAGCAGCAGGTGCATTTTACTGCCCCTCAAGCAGGTGTGGAGGTTTCTTCCTTGTTGGCTCACTGCTGGTGTCAGCCCTTCCAAGTTGTCGGGAATCTGGTGTCATCCTCGCTGGGATGTGCCAGGACTTTGGACATCTGAGCAGCTGCTGGACTTGCACAGCTTGGTAGTGCCCTAATGGTTATTTTCAAGTCAATCTTTTACAGAAAATAGCTTTTATTTCAGTATTTTAATGCGTTCTGTGCTTAAAATATTTGATTTTAGCCAAGATATTTCCAGAAGAAATAACGCCGCTTTTGCCAGCTGTCTCTGGAGAGAAAATTGCAGAAGACCAGACCTGCTATTTTCTCCAGCTCCTGCTAAAATATATGGTAATTCAGGTGAGGAGGATGGATGTTTGAAACTGTTCATATTTGGAGGATGTATTTGTGGTAGAAATTAAGCCTACACTACATTTGTGCGGAGCTGGGTTTGCCCTTCCCCAGCACATTTTTTACTCTTAAGTGGAAAATCATCCCAAAGGTATTTCCTCGTGCCATTTTTGGTGAAAATAAGCAGTTTGTCACACTTCTGTGATAAGAGTTAATGAATGTTATCCAAACTTGCAGAATAACTGACTGTTTTATGTGCTCGTGGCTGCATTTAGAAAATTGATGTGGGGTAAAGATTCAGTTTGTTCTCTTTGGACACATACCTAGATGAAAAGGAATGTAAAGGACCACTGGAGGAAGAGATAAAGAGAGATGGCTTCTGTGATGTTTTTAAAAGGATGCAAGTAACATGTACAAAAAATTTAATTAGAAGTAGATCAGATGAATCTGTACAGGAAATAAATTAAGATAATGTATATATTTTAAAAGTACAAATTAAGCAACATTTTGAAATAAAGTGGAAGCTGTGCAGACAATGAACATTAAAGAGCCTTGTTATTAAAAAGAGATAAATTATAATTAAATACTTTGAGATACACCTTTTAGTATGAAAAGGCAAGACCAAAATAATATTTGGAAAGGGTTTTGTCATCTTGAATAAATGCTTTATTTTAAAAAGTGGCTGTATGAAATTATCAGCTTCCTCCACAGCACCCTTTGTTTTACATATCAGAGTCTCACAACACTTCAGTTAAAGACAAAGATGTCACTCTTCTTTTTATACTCTTGTTACCTGTGTGGGGTCTAAACAAACCTGCTTACTCTACAAATCCCACTGCATAGTGGTTCCAGTGTTTGTTTATTTGTGTTTGTTCTGACAAAGAAAATATTAATGATAAAAGCAGAGCTCAAAGTGGCTTTGTCAAAATGTAAGAAGCAAATTTATTTGGAGCACATCAGTACAGTTGCTCTTCTCCTCTGGTTAGAACAGCTCAAATCCACTGGCTTCCACTGAGCTTGCTGGCTTTGGGGGGATGCTCTATTCCTACTTTCCATTCTTACTGCAGTTTGTAAAGGTACTTTGGGGGCTGTGCTGCTTTTTCTTTTCTTGCTAAAGTGTAGTTGCTTGGTTTTTTTTGTGTTCAGGGGGAAACAATTGTCAGTATAACACATTAACTTAAAGCTTTTTGTTTGTTTCTCTCCAACTGCGTGACAAAGGCTGCCAGCTTGGAGTGGAAGAACAAGGAGAACCAAGACACTGGGTTTAAGTTTCTCTTTACTTTGTTCAGAAAATACTATCTTCCTCACTTGTTCCCATCTTTTACAAAGCTAACCAACCTCTACAAACCTGTGCTGGGTAAGTAGTGGGTTTTGCCTTTGGAGAAGAAAAAGATGCTGCTCTCAGCAGCATCTCTGTTCCCAGCTGGTGTATCACTGCAGCTCTGTGGGATGAGGAGTTTTTTTCTCCCTGGTTTCCTGTAAAACTAACTTACATTGTAGCAGGGCTGGTTCTTTGTTTCAGCTTTTGCCCTTCTTTTTGCAGCTCTTCTCTTTTGCTTTCCTTTGTTTTGAGTGATACAAGTGATAACCTCAGGAAGGAGCTGTGCTGTTATGTTCTCCTGAGGAGCGATAAAGTTAGAATAGAATATAAGCATTAATAAAATAAAAGCAGTCAGTCATTGCATCTGTTATTTTTTTGGTGATATGCTCAGTACATTTAGCTAGAGCTGGGAAGCAATTACTAAGATTGCACTTTGTTTCTCTCTTCCTTTTTGTCCTCCCCTCAGACATCCCTGATATCAGGCCAAGGCCGGTGTATGTCACTGCAACGCGGAACAATGAGAGTGTCTACTGCACAAAAATCCCCTACATGGCAGCTCGAGTGGTTTTTATCAAGTGGCTCGTTACCTTCTTCCTTGAAAAGAAGTATTTAACTGCTGTTCAGAATACAAAAAATGGAGGAGAAGTGCTCCCTAAAATTATTCAGGTGGGCTTTAAAGTTTACCTCACTTCTTGCATGTGTGCTAACCTTGCAGGTGATCTCACTCCACTGACAGCTGAAGCACAAAGAAATGCTACCCCATAGTGAATAAATGATGTAGCTGTTTATTTGATTTTTTTTTCCCTCATAATTTGTTTCATTACCAGCTTCAGCAGTATTATATTTAGACTTTTGGAATTTACTCTGTTAACTGTCATACTTGGTGGTTCCATGGACCATTTCCCAGTGACATCAAAGGCTGCTTTGTTTTCCTCTCAGTTATAGCAGCTGTTTACAATGAGATATTAGAGAAATATTTCATTTATAAACTCATGATTGAGACTCCTCTGGCATTGGATGCCTCACAATAAATTTTATAAATCGATGGTTTTGAGAGACTCTCCAGCTTCCTGTAAAGAATTTAGAATCAATCTCAGCTTACATTTGGTCTTGAACCATAAGTTAGTGTCAGCTGTGGGCCCAGCAGAGAAGCAGCACAGTTTTAAGTAGTAGTAGCCTTCTTGAGCAATGTCTCATAAGCTCTTGGAGGTCTATTACTCACCCAAGATAGCTCAGCTACCTCTGGAGGCATAAAATCAGCAGGATGGCTTCTGTTGTAGTGTTGGAAGCAAAAAGGTTTCATAAAAGGCAAAATAACAGAGAAAAACTGAGCCAGGTGAAGAGGTTCTTGCCCTTGGTAAAACACCTCAAAAAAGCGATTAGTTTCTTTGTTTTCTTCTTTTTCTAGTAAATTGCCCAAGCAGGACTTTTTAGCTTCTGTCTAATTAGCTATCCTTAAGTTTGAAGTGAAGTCTCCAAAGTCTCATGAAGCATCTTTTTCACTTAATCAAAGAGAGAAACTTCTGAGCTTCTTTTCTTTTTGAGAAGACAAAAGATAGTTTTGTCACTCTGTCAACAGAGACCACATTCCTATAGTTTGAGAGGTTGCAAAACGCAGGCAGTGCCAGAGCAAAACCTGGCAAAAAGTGCCACTGTACTTGGCACTGGTGAGGTCACATCTTGAGTGCTGTGTCCAGTTCTGGGCCCTCCATTTGGGAAGGATGTTGAGATGCTTGAGCACATCCAGAGGGAGGGCAGCAAGGCTGGTGAGGGCTTGGAACACAAGCCCTGTGAAGAACATTTGAGGGAGCTGGGATTGTTTAGCCTGGAGAAAAGGAGGCTTAGAGGTGGCCTTATTGCTCTCTACACCTTCCTGAAGGGAGATTGTAGACAGGTGGGGGTCAGTCTCTGACAGAACCAGAGGACACAGTCTCAAGCTATGTCAGGGAAGGTATAGGTTGGATAAAATTAGGAAAATTTTTCACCCAAAGAATAACGAAAACTAGAATGCTCTTCCCAGGGAGGTGGTAGAATCACCATCTCTGGATGTGCTTAAAAAAAGACTGGACATGGCACCTGGTGCTATAGTCTGGTTGAGGTGTTAGGGCATAGGTTGGACTCGATGATCTTGGAGGTCTCTTCCAATTCTGTGATTCTGTGCTGCGCCTGCAGAGCGTCGCCGCGGGCCAGGAGAAGAGCGCGGAGCTGGAGGCGGGCGCGGCGGTGCCGGCGGGCGAGCAGGAGCGCGGCCACTCCGGCAGCAGCAGCAGCAGCCTGTCAGACAGGAGGCTCAGCAGCTGCAGCCTGTGCAGCGTGGAGGAGCAGCACCGTGGCGTCTATGAGATGGTGCAGGGCATCCTGCTCTCCACGCGCGGATACGTCAACTTCGTCAACGAGGTGTTCCGCCAGGTCTGCCCGCGGCCGCTCGCTGCCCTGCTTCTTGTTTCTGTGTGAGACAAACCCTGGGGGGCTGGGGCTGGGCAAACTTGGTCTGTCACAAAACTTGCTGATCTGTCACTGTCATATTTTCTGAAGAATCATCTTTGCCCAGGATTCTTCTCCTGGGATTCTTTCTTTTCATTTCTCAGAGAGAAATGAAAACAATGATTATCTGATTGCTTCTCCTGTGTTTGCTGCTTTGCAGTGTGGTCTGGAGATTGTTTACCAGCTGGTCATTGTTTGATTGGTTTCATGTGAATTGTTTTAACTTAATGACAATCACAGTCCAGCTGTGTCGGGACTGTGGAAGCAGTCACGAGTTTTCATTAGCATTCTTTGTAGTCTTCTGTCTGCATGCTTTCTCTATTCTTTAGTATAGTTGTAGTACAGCGTTCTATAATATATCATATACTATCATATAATCTCATAATAAATTAGCCTTCTAAGAACATGGAGTCAGATTCATCAATTCCTCACTCACCAGCAAATACCACACTGGTCACAGCAGCAGCCTTTGAGGTCAGGCTCCTTCCTAGGTCTAGTTTAACGACCAGATTATGGAATTGTTGAGGGAACTGAAGTTTGCTGCTTAAAATGGCAGTGTGGGTGGTGGTGTGTGTGTGTTTGTATGCATCACATCCGTGTCATGTGTGGAGTGAAATCTGTGAACTTTCCTTTTCAGGCTTTTTTGTTGCCGCCTTCTGATATCTCCGCAACACGGAAGGTGGTGAAAGTGTACCAGAAGTGGATACTGCAGGAGAAACCCGTGTTCATGGAGGAGCCAGACAAGAAGGAGGACAGCCAGGATGCTGTTGCTCCCTTGGAAGACTCCTCAGTGCAAACAGACGGTAAACATGTATGGTATCCCCTGTTCCTTACTTTGTCAGCTGCAATATGGGGCTTTTCACCTCACTCTGTAGAGGAGTAACAGCTTGAAGTGTGGGGAAAAATATGGGTTAAAAAATGCTTTTAGTTAAGGACTCACAGTTTAAATAGTTACTGAGTAGCACTTTGAGTGCAGGGACAGTTGCAGCTGGTTTGAGAAACTGTAATTTGTGATTATTCCCTGCATGTTTAAATATGACAGCAGGAACTTCATGGAAGAAACACTGATGGGTTTTGCAGTGCTAAAATTCACTCTCGGGTGGCCGAAGGCATGGAGAACAGTTTCATTTTGGTGGCACGTAAAACTTGACAATATGTATTAATTCCTGTATATTGTAACTGGACACCTTAATCTAGAAAATTTACCTGTAGGTAAAGTCCCTGTGCATGATCTTTTAATATCCTGTTTTGAACCATCAGTAAAAGTTCTTTGACTCTGTTGACACTGCGACGCTGTTTAAAGGGAAGTTTGCTAGTACTGAATAAGAGGTTTGATTTGTAAAACAGTGAGAATTACAAGATTTTTACTTTGTTTTGTAGAGAATTTATAATTTTGCCAGACTTAAATTAACGTATTACTACAATCAGTGACTATGAAAAATGGTGAAAAATATTTTAAGTAACATGCTTTCAAAAACTTTTATAAGCCTTCAAATTCCATGTGCGGAAATGAAGAAATAATAGCCAGGAATTCCCTGTGGAAATGAGTGAATGCCACGCCAGTTCCCCTGCTTAGGCTGCTGACCTCAGGGGTGGTTTTGTTTCAGTTTGGTGTGTTCCTTTGTGCCCTGCCTCTAACCAGGCTGTGTTTGGCAGCTCTCCTCAGAGCCCTGCGGGCACAAGCGCTCCTCCAGCTGGGGCAGGACCTACTCCTTCACCAGCGCCGTCAGCAGGGGCTGCGTGCTGGAGGATGAGGACAGGGATGTGAAGGCTGGAGCTCAGGCAGCACTGCAGGTGAGCTGGGTGGGAGGGGGACACCGGGGGGCTGTGACCTGCCTGCCCACAGAACTTGCACTGCAAATTCCATTACAATCTCCAAGATGGAGGAAAAGAACTACCAGGACTTGACTGGTTCTGTAAGACACAATTTGGACTTTGTGTGTCACTCTGAAACGTGTATATTAAACCACATGACCACGTCTTAAGGCCAGAGATCTGTATTTTAACACAAAAGGGTAATTTTTTTCTTCCTGTGAGTACTCAAAATTAATCAGAACCATGCATTTACTTTTTCTGAACTTGATTTATTGAAAATACTGGTGGCTGTTTAAGCGTATGATGGCAGGAAATGATTTGCTGGAGGAATGTCCTCTTGCCTGCCCAAGCAGAGGAGACACCCACAAACCACATGCTGGGCCTTGGTGGGTGTGTGATGGGAGCCACCTGGCTCCTTACTGGAATAACAGAAAAATAAAGTGATGGGTAAAACATGAAACTTCTTCTAAGGAAAGGGGAAGGTTTAACTGAAGAAGCACAGGTGTTTTGTTCTAAGTCTCGCCTGTTTTCATTCCTAACACTGCTCAAATGGACTGTCAATGCCAGGTATTCCTGACAAACTCTGCCAACGTTTTCCTGCTGGAGCCATGCACTGAGGTCCCTTTGCTGCTGAAGGAGCAGGTGGATGCCTGCAAAGCTGTTCTCAGCATCTTCAGGCGCATGATAATGGAGCTGTCCATGAACAGAAAGACGTGGTAAGGTTAACATACTGTCATTTAAGAGAAAAAGTTGTTACAGTCCACAACCAACCAAGCTGTTTTACGAATGATCTGTGAAGTCCGAAGTGTGACTGTATTCTCAATGAGTAAGGCTTTGCTGCAGGATTAATGAGCAGGTACAACTAATGGAACACAATATTTTGTTTTGGACTCAGGGAACAGATGCTGCAGATACTTCTCAGAATAACAGAAGCTGTGATGCAGAAGCCAAAGGAGAACCAGACAAAGGACACGTTTGCTCAGAGCATGGCGGGGCTGCTCTTCCGAGTGAGTGAGTGGGGCTGCTTGGTTTGCTCTGTCACAACTGCCCACAGTTTTAGTTGAGTGCTATGAAACCTACTTGTATTACTGTGAAGGAGGGGTTTCTCATGTTTTGCTAGTAATTCTCATGTTTTGCTAGTAATTATTTTGTAAACTGTTACTAACGGAGGGAGAGTTGGGTTTGCTCTGTTCTTCAGGGCTCTGTTACAAACTGTGGTAGCACAAATGGGATATTTTCAGTGAGTGTCTCTAAAGTGTACAAATCAAGTAACTGTTTTCCTAAAAGTCCAGCTGGCAAGTCAAAACTGAGTCACACTGAGTGAAAGAGACATTTATGCTTCCTACTATATTTCCAGCCTGGATAGTGTAACTGGGTGTGTAGTGCTGCCCCAGGGCTCAGTCATTCTGTGGGTGTAGGACATTCATTCATTCTGCTGTTATTATAGAGTGTCTTATTTCAGTTTGCCAGACAACATTTAGCCTTTTTTTTTTTTTAAATTTCCTTCATCAGTAACTTTCCCCATTATTTCTGGGAGTGTTTTTTGAGGGAAAATGGTGAGGCACAACTGATGTGCAGCACTAAGAGCCTGTGCTGATGTGCAGGTCAGAGTTGTGGGTTGGGCTTGGTGTGCTGAACTCATCTTGTCAGCCCTGCCCGAGCTGCCACTGGTGTCTCTTCCCTCAGACCCTCATTGTGGCTTGGATCAGAGCCAACCTGAGCGTTTACATCTCCCGGGAGCTGTGGGATGAGCTGCTCAGTGTCCTGTCCTCCCTGACCGACTGGGAGGAGCTCATCAACGAGTGGGCCAACATCATGGACTCCCTGACAGCAGTGCTGGCCAGGACTGTGTATGGTGTGGAGATGACAAACCTGCCCCTGGACAAGCTCAGTGAGCAGAAGGAAAAAAAGCAGAGAGGCAAAGGTTCGTCTTTGTGCTTCAGTGCTTTTTTTGTATCAAACCAGTTAAATATTGAAGCTTAACCTTAAAAATTAATTTAATGTTAAACACTACCTAATCTGGTGTAAGAACCTGTTTAACCAAATGTGAAGCACTTGGGATTTGTGTGTTGTCATCCTTCACTGGGGAGGAGAGGTAGTTGGGGGAAGGCTGGGGTCTGCACCTACAGTCAGGGTTTTTTGAATGGCAGAGATTAAATGTGGTTTCCTATGCTGTTGGCTGGTACTGGCAACTCTGTAAAAATTCCTCTGTATTTTTAGTAAAGTCTCTAATTGACAGTATTTTAGCTGCATTTGCATGCCACCTTGAGATCGATGCACATAGTTTGAACTGCCAGTTGGTTTTGATTAATAGTAAAAGTTAACCTGTGTTGTTTAAAGTATTAATATTTGCCATGTCTGAGTCCATTTGTACTTCAGCAAAAATACATGCCAAAGCATCCAGTGCCAGAAAACTTTGTGTTCTTTGTCCTAAGGTGGTGTTTTAGAGCCTCAGAAGACAGCTGTAGTAGGAAGATCTTTTTCCTTAAGCTGGAAAAGTCACCCTGAAGTTGTGGAGCCAATGAGATTCAGAAGTGCCACAACCTCCGGGGCCCCAGGAGTGGAGAAAGCAAGAAACATTGTCCGTCAGAGAGCCACAGGTTAGACCACAGCTGAGTGCTTTGGTGGCCAGGCACTCAGTAACACTCAGGTTTTACATCTCCCTCTGAGGGGTGGCTGCTGCCAAAAGCAACTCAATAGTTTACTGCCCCAGCAGAGAGGTTGCACGTCCATGTCAGGATGTCTTGGCTAGTGTGGATCACAAAGTATTTGGGGAAATTCTCTGTGGAAGCTTTTAGTTACAGGACATTGAATTGTGAGTTAAACCTGTTCACTTTAGGGGTTTTTTTAGAGGTACATGGCTATTTTTATCAGTTCCTTGGAGAGCATTTATTACTGACAGGCAGATAGCAGATACTGATGCAGCTTTTTCCTGGGAGCACAAGGTAAACCAGATATTTAATAAATAATATTATCCTTTGATAGTTGCTTTATGTGCTCTCTTTTTCTTGGTATGATGAGGTTTTGCTCTCATGTTTACTTCTGCAAAGAGAACAGCAGGAGGGAGACTGGGGTGGGGAATGTTGGAGTAATGACTGAGACCCCAGACATGGAACAGATCTCAGTTTTTTCAAGCTTTTCAGCAGCCTGAACCTGGCCTTTCTTTATATCATGTCAGCATGTTTCCATGTGCTGGTTTGCTGGGGCAGACTCCTGTGGAAGCCCCCTGCTTTGAGCAGGAGCTGCTGGGCTGCACAGCTCCCTCCCCAGTTCCCCAGTTCCTTACCAGGAGAGCTGGAAGGAGGGAGAGCACACTCCGGGTGGTTTGTGGCTCCATGGCTGAGCCACGGCCTCCAGCCTGGATCACCGAGTGCTTTGGCAGTAGAGCCAGCTCAGTCTTGAGTTTTATTTCTAAACTCAGTGAGTCCCTGTTGGTGCTCCAGTGAAGGGTTCTCTCTACTGCTGCAGCATTTTCCCCTTTGACTTCTTGCCAGAGCAGTAGGGAGAACCCGGAAGTGTTGATCCACAACATTTCTTGTTTGTGTGTGTTCAAATAAAAGGCACTTCCACACTTGCTGTGGATCAGAAATCCCTGATTATTACCCTTTCAGTGTGAGAGAGTATTGCACAATATTAACTTACATCTCAGGGGAGAAGCCCCTGGGCTTTCTGTTGAAAAGTCTTATCCCAAAACTCTGGGTTTTGTTGTGTTGTGGCACTCAGAACTGCAATATTTCACTGTGTTCCTGATATAATTATTGCTCTATTTTTTCCTGTAAGCTAAGCGAAGCCAGTCTATCAGCAACTGTGTCCATCTTTATGAGGCTTTGCCAGCCACTAAAAGTGTACCTCTTCTGCTTCACACTGTGAGCTCTCTCTTCCCTGGTATCTCTTACACTTCTTGCTCTCACAGACTGTCAGGTACTGTACTTTAAAGTCATCTTGTATATCAATGTTCTTTATATTTTTTAACTGTTCTCTCTCTATTCCCTTTCTGTCCGGTTGGTTCTTCTCAGAACGTTTGCAGCACTGCAAGCAAAGCAATTTTTGTTCATGTTGATATTAAAGACTGCCATTAAATGCAATTAGATCTATATTGCCTAGTAACTAAAGTGAAAATACCCATGTTTTGCTTGGGTAGGGATTTGTGACTCCTGAGTCCTGCCCAGACTCATTACCTGCAGTAGCAAGAGAAAGGGGAGATCTGTACATGGTGCTTTATGGCCCTGTGGGGATTCCTGCTCAGTGAAACATCTTTGGTGTGTTTTCATCTCAAGTTATTTTGGGGGGAAATGCTGAAATTGTTCCAGTTGGTGAATTGCATTGGATGTTTTATTTTATTGCTTTCTGTAAGACATTGAAAGTCAGCTGAAGTCAGTCAATACTAGAAATGTTCGTTTTTGTGCATGTGCCTCCTGAGATAACTTTCTGAGATACCTACAGAGTTTATTAAGTAGTAAAGCAATATTGAAACTTGCACACTGCAGGATGGAAACACTGGAGTGTTACTAGATTTTTTTTTCCCAAATGCTAAGATAAATGAATTTCTCAAAGTGCTGTGTTGCTCTGCAATCTCAAGAATTCCCATTGCTCCTTCCCCCGCATGGCAGTTTATTTTCTGTTGTGGATTTTCATGCCTCTCTCTCCTCCTTTTGTTTCTCATTTGCAGTTACAGCCAAACCAAAAGTTGCCTGGTTGGATTTGTCCTCACAAGCTAAACCCAAGTTATATGTAGCTCAGAGCTTTTTTTACTCTAAGTTTTTGCCTTTCTTTATTCCTCCTCCTTTCCCCTCTTTCTGGAGGCACTCGGGGAGCACAGCCAGCTTCTCTCCACACTGCATTTAAGGGAGTTCTGTTGCCTCTGCTCTGTCTTTCTGTCTCAAGAATGAACAGGGCCCAGTTGGGATCTCCAGCACTGAAAACTCAGCTTCATTCATGGGACCTGCTCCTCTTTGTTAACTCCCAAAATCACTTCTCTCCTTTTCTAGACCTTTTATGCTGCTCATGCATCTCTAAACTTTATGGGTTTTCCAAGGTTATTTTAGAGAACTTAAGTTATAACTTGTAAATTTTACCTTGGGAATTTTAAATATTTGCAAGGATTGCTTTTTCATAGAGCTTAGGTGAGGAGTTCGCAGATGTATATATGAGCTCCTGCAAATATTTTGTGTTGTAATTAAATCAACAGAAGTTGAAGAATCTCAGCAGCTGGAAAATTCAGAAGGAACAGAAGCCACAGGCTCATTTGCAGACCAAGAGCAGCAGCTAACTCGAAGCAGCAGCACTTCAGATATTGCAGATCAGATTCCATCTGATTTTTTTCAAGGTAATTCTAATAAAGTGCAGCAATACTGTGTTTTTCAAAGAAAAGATCTGGGACTAGTTCAGCCTCACAAATGCTGCTCTTAATTAATTTGGTTTCCAACTCTCCTCTAAAATATGTTTTTAGCTCATTTTCTTAGTTGCTGAATAGTTGGTAAGTTGTTGAAAGAACTTCTTTTAAAAGAAGTTAGAGACTGTCAATGCAGAATGTGACCTTTTGTAAAGCAGGGAAAATGAAACCTGGAATGTGTGTGCACTTTGTATGTAGCTCTTTGACTTTTCATCTGACTTGCATTTGAATTTTGTGTATTCAAGCTGCAGTTGGAGTTCACTTCCTCTCCTGTAAGTATGTTATGCTTCTGAAGGATTTTTCAAAGCTTCTTGTATCCCATTTAAGTGTTGTATGGCCCTTAACTATAAATATGAGACATGTAAACATAGCTGAAATTTACATGAGACCTCTTGTGTGTTTTGGTCCTGCAAATGTTTATAGTTCTTGTTTCCTTTCTGAAACTTCTAGGCAAAAAGGCTGGAAATTCAACTTCAGACTCCAAATCAGTTCAAGAAAATAAGGGATATGTAAAGGAGCATGAAGCTGAGCAAGTAAGGCAAACCCAAAAGTAATGTCTGTGGAGATCCTAGCAGCGTTTGCTTTCTAATCAGAAACCTTTTAGCATTCAGAAACTCTAGGAGGTGAAAGTGTGAAAAGTGATTAATCCCATTTCTGGTGTGGCATCTGGAAGTGAGCCCTGTCGCAGGTTATTGTCCTGCTGGGTGTGATCAGTTTGTGCCTCCTGAGCTCATCAGCTGCTTCTGCAGTTGTAGCTCTGTTCTAGTCTTACACAAGGCTTTGGTCTTTTTCTGAAATATCAACAAGAAGTTTGTACCTTTTAAAGGATAAATAATTCATGGCTATTACAGAGCTACAGTACACGGGAATAAATGTTTGATGGTTTAAAGCACTGATGAAAATGCTTCTGTTCAGCACAGTTCCTATCACCAGCCGTGCATGGCAGATGTTAGTGTGAGTTGACATCAGCACAGGCAAACTTCATACATTTTTAATGGCAACTTTTGACTGAACAGTTGAAACAATAAATGACTTAGCCTGATCATCTCTGTGAAATATGAATGCTGAAAGATTTTTTTTTATACCTTAACAAATTATTTCAGATGTGTTTGAAAAACATAGGTAAAAAATCCTGCTTGTTGAAAACTGAGGTTGTGAAAGGGAGGATAAAGAATTAAATGGAAAGCCTGAAGTTTTTCTAAGGACACTGACAAGCACTTGGGTACTCTGAATATTCATGAGAATGTCTTGACCGGGTTGTGGTTAATTTCTAATGACTGTGTGGGTGTGAAATTTGCTGGAGTGTGGCGTAGTGCTCAGAGCCGTATAAGCTGAGATGGATTCTTTCCCTGCAGGTGCTAATGCAGAGGAGCAGCAGTACAGCTGAGTTGGATCTGAAAGCAGACTTGCAGCAATCTCACGGGTATTACAGAGAGAGGGAGAAAAGTGAGTGCCCCGAGAGTGCTTTTGCCAAGGGCAGCACCTGAAATCTGCTCTGATTTTGCTGCAGCCAGCCGAGACGCTTCTCTGGGGCGCTCTGCTGCTGTAGCTTGAGCAGCACTGTGCTGTTTGCAGGTGAGAGCGTGAGCAGTGACACGTCCCTGGGCTGTGGAGCTGACGTGGACATCGCCCTGGTGGCCTGGCAGGCAGCTGAGGATGAGCCCGAGGCGGGGCCGGCTGTGGGAGCGGGCGGGGATCCTGCAGCGCCGCGCTGGCTCCAGCTCAGCCCCTCGCAGGAGCCCGCCAACCTCACAGGTACCGCGGGCCCCACGCTGGGTGTGTGAGCTCACACCTGTGCCCCACGGAATCACAGCATAATGAGGCTGGAAGAGACCTCTAAGATCACCAAGTCCAACCTATGCCCTAACACGTCAACTCAACTATAGCACCAGGTGCCATGTCCAGTCTTTTTTTAAACACATCCAGAGATGGTGATTCTACCACCTCCCTGGGAAGAGCATTCCAGTACTTTGTTATTCTTTCGGTGAAAAATTTTTTCTTAATATCCAACCTATACCTTCCCTGACATAGCTTGAGACTGTCTGTGTCCTCTAAAGAGAAGCTTGTGCCCCTCACTTGGCTTATATGGCACAGGGCACCAAGGACCCTTCATTGTGCTGGTTCAGAGTGGAAGGGGTTTGGATCATCCATTGATTTGCCAATAAATGATGATCCAGAAAGCCACCACCCACCCAGCTGAAAATAACTGGGCTTCTTACAGTGCCTAGCTGGGCACTCATGGGCCTGCCCATTAGCACACTAATAAATGTTTCAAGTGAACAGGTTTTATTACCATAGCAGCATGGTCTGAGGAAATGCCTTACTGTATTTTTTGACTGATAGGAAAGAAGTGGTTCTTTGCCATTTGTAAAGGTACCCTTCATCTGGCAGTGTGAGCCAGATATTAGGTCAGGAGCTAATGCATTAATGTAGGGATGTCTTACAGGCTGCCTTCCTAATGGATACAGAATTTCAAGGGTACTTTTTCATGTTGATTTTTCCTTTGAAATATCTGTGCTTTAATGAAGCAGCACACACCTAGTCCAACTGCTGGGACTGCTGCTGTAAAAAAGGTAATACTGCCCATGGTAAGAACAATTGTGTATGACAAATTCACTGTTGGTGTGGTGCAAGAATTGCTCCTTTGGGGGTACAAAGAGAAAGAACCTCATGTAGCAACCTGGCAGGTAATGTGGAGTGAAAGGACAAGTGGGTAACAGATGTGTCATTGCCCAGCAGACCCAAAGTGCCCTCGACTGCATTCCTGCCTCAGCCAAGTCACAGCTTGCTCTGCTGTGGAAACCTGATAGGGTAAGACAGAGCAACACTGCCACTGAGCAGCAGAGATGCCACTTCCCTGAGCACAGATCTGTAGGAGGTCATTCTAATGTGCTGGATAAATAACATGTGGTTTAGCACTTTGGGACTTTGTAATGCTACAAAACAAAAAGGGGGAAAAAAATCCCCAGAGTTGTTTTTAAATATATTCAAACATAAAAGCATCTGAAATGCCTTTTATTTCACTAACCTTCTTTGTGTCCTCAGAGGACATGAGTTATTTCCTTCTGCCTGTCTAGAGGTTTCCTGCAACTTCCTTCCATGCCTTGGTTGCTGCAGGTATGCCAGGAGCAGCATGGCTGTGCTGCTGCCTGTGACAGGAGAGCAGCTACCAGCTCTTGTCATTAAAATGTGCACTTCAGTGTGGATTTGTACTGTTTAAGAGCATAAATCCCATTATCCTGACAGCCTTCTCCAAGCTCTGCTCTCTCAGGAGCTGCTCTGCATCAGTGGTGATGCCTGAGCACATTCCTCAAGACTCTTCAGCCGTGGCTTTTTATTCCTTTGTCCAGTTGCATTGCCAGGTCTTGCTACACTGTGTGATCTCAAAAAAAAAAAAAAAGAAAAGAAAGGGCTTTTATAAATATAGAAGTATTATAGAAGTAAGAGTGAGTTACTGATTGAATACATCTCTCAGGTACCTGAATATTGCATTTAGCTGCATTTGCCTCCCTTGCTGAAAAGCCCTCTGGGGTGGGGACAGTGTGGAGTGGCAGTGCTGTGCCCTGTGGTGCTGTCACCCATGAGCCCCTTTGCTGCCGTGTTCTCCTTTGATTCAAAAGCAGCTCCAGCAGTAAAAGAGATGGAAGATGGTTAGGAGGAGTAATGACCAGATTTTGTTGACCAAGTTCATGCTTAGGCTGCACTTCTAACTTGTGGAAATGGCACACTTTAAATTTGCAGACAGCAGTGAGTTCCTGGCTGACGATTGCAGTATAATTGCTGGTGGAAGCCTTATTGGTTGGCATCCTGATTCTGCTGCTGTGCTGTGGAGGAGAATCCTGGGAATTCTTGGAGATGTGAACAACATACAGTCACCTAAAATCCATGCAAAAGTTTTTGGCTACCTTTATGAGCTGTGGTTTAAACTTGCAAAGGTATGTGGTACTTACAGCTAATAATAACAACACTTTTCTTTTGTTGTGGAAATGATTATTAAATGGGATTTAGTGTTAACACCTGGAGCATAAACATGGCATGGGAGGGCTCTGCTGTAAAGGAAGCTTTGTCTTGTTTGGTTTCCAGCAGAGAATCCTGTCCAATGACAAGAGAATTTAAATGGGGTGAGGAAACAGTAGCAAAGAAAAAAAGAAGTACTGACATTGGTATTTGTGTAAAGGCCCACAGTGTGACTCAAACTGGCAATGTTTGCTTTGGCCAGGGAGCAGCAGCATAGACCAAGCTTTCCTGGTGGCTTTGGCTGAAGTGGGAGCTCTGGATAACCCCAGCTGTAGTACCTAAATGTAAATAAAATATAAGTAAAACATAATAATGCAAAAAAAAAAGAGCATTTAAGAAAGATACTGGTTTTATTAATGCTCTTCTTTAAAAACCATCAGATTCGAGACAACCTCGCTATCAGCGTTGACAATCAGTCAACTCCCTCTCCTCCCGTCCTGATCCCTCCTCTCAGGATATTTGCATCATGGCTGTTCAAGGTCAGTTCTGAAGTTCTCACACAAGAGTATTTTCTTCTATATCAGAGCTGAATGGGTGTGCCCTTAGTTGCCTTATTTTTAACTTCCACCATCAGTGCTGCCCAAGGCAGCGCGTGCCCTCCAAAGGCTCCTTGGAGCTGAGGTAATGCTTTGTGGGAGGGCTGCTGGGCACGCATGGCACGGGCTGGCTGGTGGGGGAGGCAAGGAGTGATGCAGGCTTTGTTGCTGTTGCAGGCAGCCATGCTGCCCAGCGAGTACAAGGAGGGCAAGCTGCAGGCGTTCCGGCTGCTCTGCGCCATGATGAGCCGGCGCCAGGACCTGCTGCCCAACTCGGACTTCCTGGTGCACTTCTACTTCGTCATGCGCCTGGGGCTCACCAGCCAGGACCAGGTATGAGCTGTGCTTCCTGTGCCACTGCTGAACCATGCCAGGGCAGCAGGAGATGCTGCCAAAACCTGCTGCTGTAGGCACAGCAGTTGTTCCGGGTCTCCCTGTCCTCAGGAATAAAGAGTTTGGTGCAAGAGGAAAAGGCTTAGTCGGGCTGTTAAATGATGGTTGTCTCACAGAAGCAGCTCAGTGCTCGTGGAAACTCTAAGAAATATTCTTTGGACAAAATGAAGACTGTCTAAGAGGAGTTGCATGTTTTTATAGCTTTAGGAATGAGAGCAAGGGCTTGCAGCTCTGCTGGGCTTGGCAACAAAGGGCATAGGCACCGCTCAGGAAATCGTGGGAGTTACTGATTGTGCCTTTAGGAAACCAGACATGTTTGATTGTTTCTGATGAAATTGAGATGATAGAGGGAAAGAAGGAATTGTTACCAGGTTCTTGCCCCTTGGTTTCCCACCTGAAAAGTTAGAACATTTGGAAAACACTCCTTTTATATAGATAAGAGTAGAGAGACAGGGGTTTTCTCGTGGAAAATCCTAGAAGTCCTGTTGCAGCTGCCCATCACTCCAGGATTCCCCAGGTATTTTGTATCCCTCACACTGCAATCCCTCCATGGTTTCCCTGGATATTTTGCAGCCCCACACTGCAATCCCTCCATGGTTTCCCTGGCTGTTTTGCAGGCTGCTGCTGCTCTTTGTTCTTGCTCCCCACTCTTGTGGCTGCATTTGCCTCTTGGTGGCACACTTGACCACAGGTTGGCTGCTGTGTGTGTGTGTCCTTCCCGCCTGCTTCCCTTAGCTGTGGAACTGGATGAGGTGTTAACTGGCAGTGCCTTGGAGCAAGGTGTTGATGGGAAGCAGGATCCTTATTCCTGCTCCTGTATTTCCAGGGCAATTGGGTGCTCGGAGAGTGGGAGTCTCTTTAGCAGAGGGAGTGTGGGATCACTGGAACAGGGATCCTAGCATGCTTTCCAGGATTTCAGAAATAAAAAACTTGGGTTGGCCTTTTTAACACAGAGTGGGTTTGTCTGCTAAGCACAGGCATAGATTTCTCCCTTGTAAGGAATGTTCACAGAAGGAAGGGTAGGAGGTGTCTCATGGAGGAATTTTCCTTCTGTGTGGATCACTACTGCAACTTCTAGCATTTATGTAGGAAAGCCACAGAAAAACACCCCAGCTCCAGGCAATCACCTTGGCTACTTCAGAAGAGCTTTTTTAGGTGGTTACATAATTAAAAGTATTACAGTCAGGAACCTCTTTGACCTGAATGGTTTTCAATATTTTAGTTTGTGTGACAAATGTTTTTTTGAACTGTATTTCTCTTGTCACTCCTCACTCACTTAAGGATGCAAAAATAGGAAATTGCTGCTGCGTGGTGTAGCTTTTGGTGCTGCTAGAAAAACAAAACAACCTGATTTTGAATATGCTGTAAATGAGTACAGTGTTATTCCAGCAAGTGCAGCTCAGCTTTGCAGCCTGCTCTTGGGGGGTGCATAAAAGAGCAGTGTGAGGAGGGTGTATTTTATAGGAGGCTCCCTTGGCTCTCTGAGCCCTGGATGTAGCAATTAGCTCAGCAGAGGAGACAGCAGGGTAATGAGCTGCAGCTAATTTGTCCATGTGGAAGTGTCTAACAACAAACATCCCTGGAGAAGTGAACAACTCTGTGCAAGAATTGCATCACCTCTCCAGGTGGGAGCAGCCGGCTGCAGGGAGCGAGCTGCGGTCGGGGAGCACAGGAGGGGCCCAGGGTCAAGGGCCAAGTGACCATCTGTGGGGTGCCTTCCTCCTGAACTGCTCCAGCCTGTGGCACTGCTCTGCTGCTGGCCTAGTCTGGGCTTTTTTCCTGGTTTTTTTTATCAATGACATTCATTTAGGCTCACAGCCTTCCCTCCCTGGCCTCTGGTGTGAAGGAAAGAGACCTGGGATGTTCACTGGGGGCTAGGGAGGGTACTTTACCTGTGAGGTAATGAGGATGAGGAAATGTTCCTGGGGAGTGGTTGGTAGGGATGCTGTGGGATAGCCTGCTGCAGTTTGCATGGGCATAGCTGCCTTCTGCTACCAGGTGAGCCTGATGGTCAGAAAACTCCTGTTGGAGCAACTGCAACCAGGTGTGTCCTTTGGTTTGGGTAATAAATGCAGCTTTGTTAATCAGCCCAAAATTTGACACTGCGATGCACATGTTTTGCAAATACCTGAACCAGGAATAGAGATGTATTTTATTGTTGCTGGCTGCTTACTGTAACATTACTTTTTGCTTCATTCACCTGAAAAAGTCGATAAGCGTCTCCTTGCTCCACAGCTTCCTCCTTTTTGCTGAATAACAAAAGGAACAAAACACAATCCCAAAAAGCTACCAACACTTCTCAGAAAATCAACTGTTGGCATAATTGGGATTCTTCAGCTGAGGTCTTTCTGGCACTTAAATAATCCTTTGAGGTTGCTGGTGGTTGTCTCCTGAGAATTCTGTGGGCTTTTGTGTTGCCGTTTCTTATTTCTGTCTAAATTTCTGCTCATAGTCTGAGAGGAGGAACGAAGTGCAGGTGAGGCCCTTACCTTGTAGGGACACTGTAAAAAGAGGCAGGTTTTCAATCCTTTTTCAGGTTTCAACCCTCTGCTGCTCAGTGTCATTTTTTAGCCAGTCTCACCCTATTACCATGGTGAGCATCAGTTACTGTGCCTGGTGCCACCTGTCACCAACGCTGAGGTGACACCTGGCACTCAGAGGTTACCTGCAAAGTGAGCAAGGGGGTCACTTGTATTCCTGACTTTGGCAGTGAGTTTAACAAATATAATTTAAAGTATAGTCATGCTTACTTGCCAGAGGACCTCTGGAGGAGGATACTTATGTTTTTTTGAGAATATCATCAAAGGTAGAGACTTCAGAGGTTCTGTGTGGAAAGGACAGTGGATGGCCAAGGGAGGAGACTTTGCTGGTGGCTTTTTCAGTTCAGTGATATGAGGAGCAGAACAAACTTTAAATATGGAATAAGAGGAAAATCGCCACAGTCCAGCCAAGCTGGCAGATGTCCTGGGTGATTAAATGTCAGCACAAGCAGCAGGCCTGCCTGTGGAGCACAGCCTGGCTGCAGCCAGGGCACTCAGCAGCTTTGTTTTAGTTCGGTTCCTTTTAGCAGTGCAAGGATGCTGTGGATGAGAAGCTCTGTCAGTAGAGATGCTGAGGTACCAGTGCCCATTGTCCCAAAGTTGTCCCAAAGTTGTCCCAGAGCCTCTTAATTGTTCCAAAGGCACTATAGGTGATGAGGGAAAGGAAGCTGCAGCAGCTCTAAGCTTCTGTAGAAACACCCACTGGAGCTCTCTGTGTGGAAAATGGCTAATTTGTAATAGGAAGCATTTCTCAGCAGAGCTGCTACCAGAGAAATCATTAATTACCTGTTTGTGTTAACATTGGTCTGACATTAAAAAAAATCCAGCATTTGTGGGCTTTTGTATCTTTCTGCCTGACAGTGGAGGTACAACTGACAGCAAAGAAGGCTTCAAGCATCAGCACTTTCTTGTTCTTCAGCAGAACCTTTCATACCCTTCATCTTACATGCACTGCACCTGTGTGCCCCCTGTTCCCTTTGGTGGTTGGTCAGTGCACCTGGGCACTGCATGGCTCTTTGCTGTCAATCACAGCTGTACCCACTGGGGATGAGGCTGAGCCCCATCCCCACTCCCCATCACCACAAACTGAGTGCCTGCATCTGCCCAGGTGTCACTCAGCAGCCTGGAGCAGCAGCAGCTGTGTAAAGGTGCAATAAGTGAGTAGCTTTGCTTTTGTCCCCTGTGGAACGGCTGCTCCTTGCCTGGGTTTCTGCCTGATGGTGTTGTACAGAAACCATCATGCTGTTTAGATTCTTTAAACTGCCATTTAAAAGGAAATAACCTTAATGTAGTCTATTAAGGCTTAGATTCCCCTATTTTAGCTTCTCGAGACTTCTTTCCAATGGATGCCATGATTTTCTCCCTCTTTTAATCCACCCCTTATCTCATTTCCTGTGGAAAATTTGCCTGTGTGCTCCCATTATGTGCTTTGAAAAAGTGTTAACAGACAGCATGTTTCCAGTAGGGACAAACAAAAGTCCAAATGCCAGGGTCTCATAGGAACTCTCACATCCCCCTCTGCTTGCCCAGACCAGGCTAAGTGGGAAGTGCTGGATAAAAAAGCTGGAAGATTGACTGGGAGCAAGGGGGAGCCAGGTCCTGCCAGCTGCAGGAGCTGTGCACTCTGGAGTGATTTTGGTAGTTTTGTTCTTTTCTGTTTATTTTGCTGTAATTTATTTGTCCTTCCTAAGTTGCATCCATCCCACCCAAATTCTGCTCTTGTGGTCTGTCAGAGCTTGGAGCAGCGCTGCCACAGGTACTTGGGATTGATGTGCATGGGGACACAAAGCCACCTCCACCTTCCAGGCAGTGCCATGGCCTTGGCACCCACACCCTTGTACCTGGATCCACTGTGTGCTCTGTGTGTGCACAAACCAAAACTTTTATTCTAGTCCTTTATCCTATTGCTCTCCCTACTTGTGAAAGTATCAGACATGCTCCAAAATGGGAGAAATTAAAGAAAAACTCCCTCTGTTGTATTCCAGCCTTGAGGGATTTAGGCTATAAAATGTAACTGTTTTGGGGTTAGGTTTTACCTAGCACCTTGAAATGCAACTTTCTGATAAATTAATCCTAGATCTCCTGAGGTTGTCAAAATACTTCATAAATTTGTGTTGCAGCTTAATTTTTGACAAGTTAACTCCTACCTGAATCTTCATGGTAGGTAGGAATACTTGGCATAAGTAAATAGAAGCATTAGTTCCTTTAAAGTAGAAAAGGGAAGTCTTAAGCCTTCTGTAAATTAATAATCTTTCCTGTGCTGTAGATCTCAGCTGCCAGTGAGGTGTCTGTCGGTGAGGAACAGAGCGAACTTTCAGTGAAAAATCCGTGTTGTTCCTGTGGAGGGACAATTGGAAACATGAGGAAGGCAGCTGGCAGGCTATTTGGTTACACCTGTAATCTGCAAAATCTTCAACAAAAATTAGGTGAAGAATATTTTTGCAATTGACCTTTCAGTGAACTTGCATAAATTTATTTCGCTTACTCAGTGGATGTTTACGACCTTATAATTTGAATTACTAGATTAACCTACACTGAAATATGATGCCATTTATAGGGTTAATGCATTTGAGAAGGACATGCATGCAATTGCCCCCTCCTCTCCCCTCTTCCCCAGCTTTAACACCACAGAGCATCATTCTGAATTGAAATAGTCCATAATGGTCCTTTTTTTCACTTTTCTTTAACAACATGAACACTAAATTATAGCTGTGCAATTATGTAAACAATGGAAATGCTTCCAGAATGAATACTTCCTTTTAAATTTTCATTTTGTGTAATTGCTGAAAGGTTTGGAGCCATAATAAACCAAAATTATTTTACACATTTATCGTTCTAAAGGTCAATTATGAAAGAAGTAAAGCAACAACACTGTGCAGAATGAGTAAACCAATTTCCACGGCCATCACCATATGTTTTTCTTATGGCTTGTGTTTTCCAGTTGCTGTGTACATAGCATTCAATTAAAGTGATTCATTGACCAGGCTGGGAGCTGCTACCCGGAGTTTACGTTTGCAGGGAGGGAAGGAAGCCCGGCTCTGTTTGAATTACCTGATTTTGCCCTATCACTGATAGCACAGATGTCCTGGCTCCCTTGCTCTCTCACAAGCCTCCCTCTGCTGATAAGCTCCCCGAGCCCCCAGATTGCTGCCCCAAATCCTGTGGTGCTGTGAGCTGGGCTCTCTGCTGACTGGGAGAGGGGACAAACCTGGAAGGCTACCTGTGAGCACTGTCCTGGGCTGGTGCTGACCCTCCCCAGGCAGGGGACAGCCTGCCCAGCCCCAGCTGAACTGCAGTGACCCAAAATGCCCAGGGTGATGTGCTCAGAGCCTGGGGTGAGCCTGGCTGAGCAGGTTTGTCTCCTGCCCTCCCTCCTGGGTGTGTGTCACTGCAGCCAGCAGCCTGCACTGGGAATTTGAAGGGAAGCCCAGGACTGCTTCAAGAGCTTTTCAAAGGGAATTTTTGAAAGGTTTCTTGCTATGGAAAATGATTTATTTTTAGCAGCTCAGCATCTCATAACTGGTGAGTAAATCCCTGCGGCCTTTTTGGACCGTGTGTGCTGTCACAGCATTTGTGTGTGACAGTAATGTTCTGTGGATCTCCTTGCCCCTCTGTGGGATGTGTTCTGTGCAGGGATCCGTGCCCTGGTGTGTGACAGATGGGAGCTCTGGGGTGAGGACAGGAGTTAATGCAGTTGTTTGGAGCAGCTCCCTGTGCCACCACCTCCCCAACCAGGTTAGCCAGGGCTCTTTTATTGTGGCACATGTCAGCAGCAGCCTGCTCCCATCTGCTGCCCTGCTCAGGGCCAGCCCAGTCTTACCTGGCCCTGCTGTACAGGTGTGCTGTGCTGGACCAGCACGGAGCGTTAATCAGCCCTTAATTATAACAAGGTATGTCCTTTGTTCTGCGCCGACCGAGAGTTTGCCACCCGCTTTATGAGCGGCTGCATCCATCTGCTCTGCTTCTCAATGTTTGCATTAACCCATATTGACTTAAAATGTATCAAAGGAAGTGATTAAAACAAGTTTAAACATTAACTTGAGTGGCATTTTATCTTATTCAGGAAAGTGAAAGCATTATTTGCTACTATGTTAAAAACTAATACTGTTTATTTGAATATATAGCAGTTTCTTCATAGGATACTGGTGTTGCAAACACTTAGTGGAGCGCAAAGTAGGAGCTGTGCAGGTGTTGAGAGGGCTTTGAGAAAATAGTGGTGATGTTCAAGCATCTCTCTGTGAAGAGAAAATTGGGTTTGTCAGCTTTAGCTTCTGCTGTAGAGATTGAGAGGATGTTATGGGCATCTCTAGCTCAGGCTGTCTTTGACACATCATGAAACCAGTAAGGATGGACATGGAAAAGGGTTTTCCTTTTGCAACTTTTCAAAATTTTATTGAGTGGAAAAATAATTATCTACTCAGTATAGAAATAGGTTGATGTAACTCTTCAGCAAATACAGTGTCACAGGTAAAGGATTATATAGATTTTCTGCCTAATTTTAAACCTGCTGAAAGCTTGCAGGGAAGAAATCTTAACTCAAATATAGGAACTTTGCTCTGATTTGGAGAGACTGTGAAGACTTAAAATGTGGAAGGATTAGAGATGAAGGGCTTATCTGGAATGTGCTCTGTACCACAGGATGATGGTGAGCAGAGCTGGGGCTGCTGCTCTGTTCCTTCAGGGCACCTGAAGCAGTGAGCAGGCCTGGGGGGGGCAGCTCATGTTCTTGTGGCATGGAATTCTGAGGGATTTAAGGAACTCACTCCTCTGGACTGCTGCAGTGCTTCATCTTAAGTCCATTCAGTGTTTGGATGCTTGAATCCGAAGTCTTGTTTAACAGAATGGTTGTGTTTAGGCACGAAGAGACATGAATGGCGGTGTGGGCTTTGAACAGGAATTTAGGGCTACAAATGTTTCCAAAATACCAAATGCACTTTGGCTGCTCCACACACCTGAAGTGGGAGGTGGTGATTACGTGGAGGTCAGTTTGCACACAGTGCTCTGGGAATTTGCACCTCAATCAGCGTGGGACCAGGGAACCTCAACGTTAAATCGTCTCGAACCTCAAAGTTAAATCTTCTGACACTTTCCCTTTTGCTTTCGGGCTTCCTGGCCTTTCTCACAGGTGCCTTCTCTTGCAGGACATCCTGAACACTGTCATAAAGCACTGCCTGCCATGGTTCTTCTTCCTGGGGCTGCCCGGCTTCACGATGCTGATTGGGGACTTCCTGGGCGCGGCAGCGCGCGTGCTGAGCGCGGACACGCCGGAGGTGAGCGCGGCTGGCTCGGCACAGCCACGCTGACTGGGCTCTCAGGGGGATGCTGGGGTGGGAAATCCTGGGAAAAGGCAACACACTGGTGCTGCAGAGGTGTTGGATCCAAAGGCTGAGGTGTGAGGAAGGCATGTCCTGCACACCTGCAGAGCCCCGTGAGCGCCACTGCAGTGAGCAGACAGCGAGAGAGAGCAGGGAACTCTCCGGGTGAGGCAGCATCTCAGGCTAAATGTCAGCACTAACAGAAATGTGACTCTAAACGATCAAATTATCGAAGGATAAGTAAAATAGCAAGTCAATGAGGGGTTGCCAAAATAAAGGTAAAGGTCTGGCAGTCCTGGGAGAGACAGGAAAGCTTTGTTGCATGTGAAGCACCAGCTCATGGGGGACCTTTCAGTCTGTTCTGGCTCAGGGCTTTTGCTGCTGCTCTTGACATTTGCGTGGCTGAGCAGGTGGCCCTGTGCAGGGCCACAGCCCTCTCCTGTTTCAGCAGAGCTGGAATGGTTTTCCAGCCACACTTCTTCCATCAGCCCTCAAAGAGCTTGGTCAGCCTCACTGTTGATCCAAAGCTTAAATGCTAATAAGAAATGGATGCTCAATTTTCCAGGGAAAAGCCATAAACCAAAACACCCCCTTCCATTTTTCCTGCCTGCATAAAACTGGGTGCGCATTGCATTTTCAACGTTACACAGTAGTTAATGTGTTTATAGCTTGTGCTGTGGTGCTTTTGATGGCTCTGTTGGAGCAGGGATCTCTCTGCACATTGGTATCACCTGTGCAGCGAGTGTGAGTGATCCTGTGCCACAGGATCACCTCACAGCAGTGCTGGATTAGTGCTTCACCTCCTCACTCAGCTGTTCTTCAGGGGGTTCTGTACTTCCTGTTGGCATCAAAGGGCTGATTGTGAGATTGAGTAATGAGGGGAAGTATTAAAGATGTAGGATGTGTTCAGGAGTGGGGCCAGCTCAGCCTCACGAGGAGAACAGAGCAGCACAGCCAGGAAAGCAGGGGCAGGAAGGTGTGTGTTAGGTACTGCTGGGCTGTATTCCCTGGAACAGCTGAATGCTGCATTGTGAATCTAGCAGGCTGAGTATGGCAGTGCACACTGGCCTCAGAGCTGTGGGCATCTCCACATGTGAAGGGTTTTCAGTGGCTATTTCAGTGAATATATTTTTAGTGACTATTTCTGCCTGCTTGCCCTTCGCCAGGCTCCCCGCTCCGAAGCTCACACCATCCTTGGTGCTCTTGTGTGCTTTCCCAACACCTACCAAGGAATCCCACAGTTGGGACCCATCTCAGAAGCTGGTGAGAGCATCACAGGAACTGGAGATTTGAAGGTAAAGCCACATTTATTGTAAATCCTTAGGTGGCCTAACCTGGTTTCCCTATGCAGTGACTTCATTCCTGCCCAAGTGGTTGCCCTCACACAAACCTCTGTTTGATAAACGTGAGGCACCACAGTGATCCACTGCTCAAAATTAGGGATGGCTGGGGAGGAATCTCTGAGTTCCTCATGTGTGGCCTGAGGAGGCAGAACCAAAGGGAATGCAGAAATGCCTTCACATGCTTGGCTCCTCTTCTTGCTTCTTCATCAGGCCTTGGAGAGTCACTGGAGGTGTCTTAATTCTAAATCTAAGACAGTTTTGTCTTTTCTGTACTAAATAATACCCAGAATTTTTCATAACATGTTTTGGTTAGAAACTGAACACTACAGTTTGTATGGAGTGACCACCACTTGTTGTTTGTAACTGCCCCTTGACACTGTAAATTAATTGATTTCTTCTTGCTGCCTGTACATTAGTTGTAAGCTGATTTGATTTGTCCTCAAGGGCCTGTGTGTTTGAGTTGTAATCAATGTTTCTCCCTTGACAAAATGCAACTGGCATGAGGTAAATATGCTTTAGCAACAGATGGGGAATTAGTGTCTTCACCTGTAACTATGTGAAAATTAAACAACTTTAAAGAAGATGTATGAAAAAGATGCTTATTCTAATTTATTGTGTTGTTTTAGTGTTGCCTCATAAATATTTTATTGAAGAATGCCACAGAGGAGCCATGTGAAGCTGCAAGGTAAAATACTGAGTAAAAGAAATGGGAAAATATCATAGAATTGGTTAGGTTGGAAAAGACCTTTAACATTATCAAGTCAAACCATTTATGGCTTGGAAAAGTCTTTTTTGCTGCTTATCTTCTGCTGCTGCCTTGTGGTTTGGTCCTGTGATTTTGAGCCTTACTCTGCACCATGACCTGTTGTGCTGGAGGGGAGAGATCTCATCTTTGTGCATTTTTTTCCTTTTTTTTTTCCCTAAATATTGCTCTAAATCTCCTGACCATCTCCCTTTTCCTTTTCCCAAAGATGCATAGCCATCTGTGGCCTCGGCGTGTGGATCTGCGAGGAGCTCACGCAGTGCACAAGCCACCCCCACGTGAAGAAAGCCATCAATGTCATAGGTGTGACACTGAAGGTATTGCTGTGGCGGGCTCTGATCACTTGCTTTGGGAAAAAAAGGCATTTCCACTTTGCAAATAATCACTGATAATCTGAGGCACTGAAATAATTCAGTGCAGGAGCCACCCCCATGTGAAGAAAGCCATCAATGTCATAGGTGTGACACTGAAGGTATTGCTGTGGCAGGCTCTGATCACTTGCTTTGGGAAAAAAAGGCATTTCCACTTTGCAAATAATCACTGATAATCTGAGGCACAGGCTGCTGCTGTGGTGTCCGGTGCAAGCATGCAGAATATTTGCAAAAATAACCTGTGTGCCTATAGACTCCTTCCCCAGAAAACTCACATAAAAGATCACACAGGCAGTGTCAAACCTGCTGGTTCCTAATGCTGACCATGTCATCTCACAACACTAATGTTTTTTTATTCTTTGCAAAGATGCAAAATAATGAAACTTAGAAAATCTGAATGCAGTGTATTGTATCTGAATATTTTATTTGGCTTTTAATCACCTTTTTTCTTCCAGTTTTCCAACAAGCTGGTAGCTCAGGTAGCCTGTGATGTCCTTCAGCTGCTGGTGTCTTACTGGCAGAAGCTTCAGGAGTATGAATCCTCCCTGTGCCGGAAAATTACGGAAGTATGTCAGATTCTTTAAAATGTTTGTATGCAAAGTTGTCTTAATCCCTTCCTTGGGCAGCTGTGATTTTGTTAACTCCTCCTTTTTATTTTTATTGGGAGAGAGGTACTTGCTACACTCCCTGGACCAGTGTAGGTCCCTTGTTTGTAGTGACTTGTGTGCAAGTGCTCAGTAAAATGTTCTCATTGGTTGGCACGGGCAGTTGGGTGCTCCTAGGAAAACTTTACCTGTTCCACACCCTGTGGAACTGTCTTCCACACCCTGTGGAAGGTCTGTCTCTGCAGAGGAAGAAGCTGAGTGCCTTTCTGACACTTGGTTTGTTTGGCTGCAGATCCTGGTGGCCACCATCGCGTTCCTCCTGCCTGGTGCTGAATACTCCTCCATGGAAGCGGATAAGAAGGTGTGTCACTGAAAAGAGCTGTCTCCATTCTTCGTGCTGTTTGAGGGGGGTTTTAAATGAGGTTGCTCCTAACCAGAGCTGAATTCTAAACTTTCCAATTCATACTCTAAAGTCTGGGTGAATTTAATAGAGTGTACCTAAGCACCGTGTTCTTGTTCAGTTCATAGTTTCACTGCTGCTTTGCTTGCTGGACTGGTGCATGGCACTGCCCATGAAAATGCTGCTGGAGCCTGTGTCTGCTGGTGCTGTGGAGGACCAACATGCATCCAGAGCTCCTTTGCTGGATTATATTTACAGAGTGAGTAGGGGGAAGGAAGGTGATTTACTCTGCCTGGCTGTTTAAAGATGCCTTTCACACACCCAGAAGGCAGAGAAGCAGCTTTGTCAAGCACTAAAAAATCATGTCATCCAGGTGAGAAGTTACAAATGCAAAATGTTAAGAAGATTAGAGATGTAGAACAAACAGGAGATGGTGAAGACAAAGGTAAAATGCTTAAAAAAACGAGCTGGGGGAAATAATCTTTGCAGAAATATTTGGATTATTTGAAGTGGGCTGTTAAAATACAGAACAAGCCCTGAAGTGAGCTGTTAAAAGCACAGAATCAGTGCAGATGGAGACTGTTAATTTAGAAATGCTGAATTTGGACACGGGTGGGTCGTGGAGCGTGTCAGAACTGGGGGTCCTGCTCGTTGGGTGTGTTGGGGACTGTCCCAGGTTGTCACTGGCTCCGTGTCCCTGCAGGTCCTGCACTGCTGCATCAATGGCTCCAGCACCTACACGCAGCAAAGCCACTATGTGCTGAGCCTGGCCGACCTCTCCTCCTCTGACTACGACCCCTTCCTGCCTCTGGGGAACGTCAGGAGCTCCTCAGAGCCAGCCCAGTGCCCCTCCTCCACCGATTTGGGCAACCTGCTCACCGTGGCTGAAGGTAAGGGCGTGCCCAGAGAGTGGGCTGGGCCAGCATGTGTGTGCAGCAGTGGGAAACGGTGTTCCAGGCTCCATCTCTGCCTTGGAAACATGCTTCTCCTTACTGCACGTAGCAGCTGTTCCTTCAGAATTGGGCACAGCTCTCCCTGGATGAATTCCAGTTGCCTCTGTGGTAGGATGTTTGAGTTCATTGCCAACGCTGCTCCTTAGAACAAATTTATGTTTAGAAGGTGTAAAGGGAAGGAGAAACACTGTAAACCACAAAGAAATAGTTTTACACTGAATATGAAAAAACCTAGAAATGTGGAGGTTTCTGGCTGTAAAAGGAGTAACATTCCCATGGGAGAAGAGGAGGCACAACAGTAGCTCAGAGCACAGTCACTTTATGAAATAACTGATGGATGTGCCTGTGCTGAGGGGACCATCTGAGCATCCAGGAAGTCTCTCCCTGCCTCACTTTTCCACCTGCCGGGGATGGAGGAGCATTGCTTTGAGGTGTCATCTCTGGTTTGCCTTGGCTTTTCTGCCGTTCCACCCTCCTGTTCTGAGGGCTGTGGGGATGTGGTGAAGTAAAATAAAACTATGGAATAGGTAGGATTTCTTGGAAAGCTGTTGGAAATATTTCCTTGAACAGGAAGGATCAACAGGTCACATAGGGCTGAAATCTGCAGGTGCTCCTTTTGTGTTGCCTCTGGCTGCTCTTACTGATCCATTGTGTTTTCCCTGATGGTTTCAGAGAAGAGGAGGAGGAATCTGGAGCTGATCCCTCTCACAGCGAGGATGGTCATGACTCACCTGGTGAATCACCTGAGCCACTACCCGCTCAGCGGGGGCCCCGCCATCCTCCACAGCCTCCTGAGCGAGAACCACGACAATTCCTACGTGGAGTCCTCGGAGCTGTGCTCCGAAGTGTTCCGCAGCCCCAACCTGCAGCTCTTCGTCTTCAACGACAGCACCCTCATCTCCTACCTCCAGATCCCCGCCGAGAAGAAGGCGGGCGCCGAGCCGGCGGCGGCGCCCTCGGACGTGCGGGTGATCGTGCGGGATATCTCAGGGAAGTACTCCTGGGATGGCCGGGTCCTGTACGGGCCTCTGGAGGGCTGCCTGCCGCAGCGCAGCACGGCCACTGCCTTCGCCATCTCCAGGGACCCGCAGCAGCACGGCCTTGCCCAGAGCGACGGCTCCCAGGTGGAGGAGGGAGAGGACGCCCTGGACCAGCTGCTGGAGAGGATCGGGAGCAGCAGCCCCGAGTGCCTCCCGCACCCGCAGCGCAAGCTGAACGAGCCGGCGCCGCCGCCCTGCGGGATGAGCGCCGAGCAGGAGCGCGCCATCACCGAGGCCCTGCTGCAGCAGAGCGCCCGGGAAAGGGAGTTCATCCTCAAGTGCGGCTCGGACTGCAGCATGAGCGTGGCCCGCCAGGAGCCACCGCCTCCTGCCCAGCCCCAGGCCTCCTTTTATTTCTGTCGGCTGCTGCTCAATGACTTGGGAATGAACTCCTGGGATAGAAGGTAGGAAGAGAGGATCTAGAAGGTGCTTTGAGTACTCTCCTCACTTTTTTCCCCCAACACACTTAAGAAAGTGAGGCTCATGTAGCTGGGGGTAAGAGCAGAGTTTTGAACTTCAGTGATGATTTGATATACACACCAATAAATTGTGTATAACAATAATTCTAAGAAATCATATCATGCTAATTCTCCTAGCTGTTGGATGATGAAATACTGTGTCTCCACTGTGTTGCATTTGCCTTCAAACCTTTCCTATTTCTTTTCAGAAAAAGCTTTCATCTGCTGAAGAAAAATTCAAAGTTGCTGCGGGAACTGAAAAATCTGGATTCCCGCCAATGGTAGGTGATGTGTACTGAACACACCATTGATAAGGTTTGTGTTTCCCAAGGAAGAATGAGTCACCAGAACCAAAACTTCATTCCTGTTGAATCCAAATATTGGTATGAAAAGTGGACTGTTTGTTTCTCCAGAGTTGTGTAGCCTGAATGGAGAAGCCAACTGCGCTGACACATTCTCTGTGTACCAAGAACTCCAAATCAGTGGCAAAGAATAAGAGATTTTTTTTCAAGTTTTCTTTAGCTGAGAGGGGAGGGAATCAAATTGATTGTGACCTGGGTACAGCTGATACAAAACAGTGTTTTGTACAGAGTGATTTCTGTGTCAGGAGCAGTACTTTGAGGGGAAATCCACCCAGAACTGCTCCCCAGCCAGGAAGTGGCAGAATGAAGTTCTGAATGTTACAGGGTTTTTTTCATTACTTGACATAGAGCTGTTTGAAAAACATCTGCAGCACTGCAGGATTCTGAGTTTCTTCTATCCCAACAGTTTCCACATCAAATGCACTTTGCATGTTTTCAGATAAGCCAACTGTCCCTGTCAGCCTTGTAGAACTTTGCCCAAGGTCTGAAAGTCAATAATGCCCCTTCTGCCTAGTATGTCATCACCCTGTAATTAAAATTCTGTAGGTCAAATTATGCTCCCATTAACACCTGTGCCACCTCGCTGTCTCTGCAGTGCTGCACAGATCTGAGTCATTAACCCTGTAATTAGAATTTGGCCACCAGTTCTGTGGCTGATGTACAGGACGACCAGGCTTGACTCTGCTCTCAGAACTGGGGTGTCTCTGCAGTGAGCTTTTGGTGGCCAGAAAAGGGGAGGAAATCCGAAAGTGAGGGGTGTATTTGTGTGCGTGAAAGAAATTGACACACAGAGCTAAATGTGGGCACCTGGTCATATGTTTGCTTGGAGTGCTGGGGGATCTGAAAAATAATTTTGAGTTGAAGCTTGTTTAATTTTGATTTCTTTTTCTACCCTGTGGCAGCCGTGAGACTCACAAGATCGCCGTGTTCTACATCGCTGAGGGACAGGAGGACAAGTGCTCCATCCTGGCCAACGCCAGGGGAAGCCAGGCCTATGAAGACTTTGTGGCTGGGCTGGGCTGGGAGGTAACAGCCATAATTCAGACAAGCTGCCTTGTTGCTGGTGGCACTACACAGTTTTTAATTAAAAAAAAATATTAGCTACACACTGATGCATAGCTGCTTTTAGCTCTTGCCATGGTCAGAGCACAGTCAGCACAGGGGTTCTTTATGACATGTGCGGATTTAGTTTGCTTTGTAAAAGTGGTGTATCATAATCTAAATGCCATGGACATTTTGGTGTTTGGGAAATCCAGAGTAGCTGCATGTCACATTTAAGGATCCAAGTGCCACAGCGAGATGCAGCATTTTCAGGCTGGTGCTGTTGGGAAAACAAACAAGCCTTTGGACTTAGGCTTGACTTCAGAGAGGTGTTTCTTCTGAATGAACTTCTGGAATAATTTATTCTAAGGGTGTTTTTTCTGTACAAATATTCAGTTTCTTTTGCAGTTTTGCTGTTTATTTCTCTCTCCCTTTTGTGATGCTCCTGGCAGTGGGAGCTGCCAGGCCACAGAGCCCTTAGCCAGCAGTCTGTGGCAGAATGCTGTTGTTTCCTTGCTGCCGTTTGCTGGAGGAAGGTAAAATAGCTGGGTAGATAATGACTCAGAACCTAGTTCAGAGAGATTTAGTTTTAGTAAATGTCAAATACAGGCACGGGAAAGACAAATCTAACGGAAAGATCGCAGAGCTGTAGGGGAAGACTTTCTCTGGGATAGCTACGGAAACCTAGGGCGGTGATTTCATTAGAAGCAAATCCTGGTGCTGTGTCAGTGCTTTCAGGTGGCTGCTGTTTGTGCCTTTGGCTCCCTCAGGTCGACCTGTCCACGCACGGCGGGTTCATGGGCGGCCTGCAGCGCAACGGCAGCACGGGGCAGACCGCGCCCTACTACGCCACCTCCACCGTGGAGATCATCTTCCACGTGTCCACCAGGATGCCCTCCGACTCGGATGACTCGCTGACCAAAAAGGTAAAGGCTTTGCAGTGTGTTTCCATCAAAATCTGAGCTGGGAGCAGCCTTTGCTGACTGGTCCTGGCAGGCCGTCCCTGTGTTGCCACATGGTGCTTCTGCAGCTGGGCTAGCTGAATTAAATGGCATCTAAATTCTGGGTTCTGAAACACAATTAACATTTCCATGGTAGCCTCAAATGCCACCGTGGGTAATAATATTAGCAATAATTTCATTTGTACATTGTCTGCCTGCCAAAACTGCTGTAGGTCGGTAGAACAAAGCAACCAAATGCAGCATCATCAAACTGTCCTGTGGGGAACAGCGAAGGGAAAGAGGGCTGACAGGCTCAGGAGCCCAAGCAGCCAGCTCAGAGTTCAAGACAGCAGCCAGTAAGGCACAAGTCTGACAGGCAGCCTCTGCTTCAGACAGCCAGAACCCAGCACAAAATTCTGTTGGTATCAGTACTTAATTGTTCGTCTTTCCTAGCGAGGTACAGTTTCAGGTTATGCTGTTTGCCAGCAGCTGCTTAGACCCAAAGATTTTTGGGGCATATGAAATCTCTGCCTTTTTAATTAGGATGGGCAACTTGGCCTGCAGAGGTTGTTAGCATGTATCAGTAATGCTGCAGCAGCCATCCAGCTGGTTTCAGAATTATGTGTGCTTTTCTTTGAAATATAAAGGTGGAATCTCTGATTACTGGTTCTGAAAAATTGCCCAGTGTTTTGTACTAAAGTCAGATCTTGTCTTTTTATTGTGATATCTGTCATTTAAAGAAAGGAAAATCAGCAAAATGACATGTTTCTCTTCATGGATGCAAGGCTATGGAGAAAAGTACTCTGAGTGCTTCAGGAAGGAGCAGTGGGGTAGTGGTGTTTAGGACAGGGCTGTAGAGTCTCTGTGACCATACCAGTGTAGGACTGTTTGTATTTTTTTTATTCTTGACCAGTATTTGTCAAGCTGCTAGACCAAAGCTCCAGTGATCAATGATTTACAGTTGCCCTAGGCAACATATTCCATATTCCTGTGCTCCACTTCTTGCACCACGAAAAAATCTCTGGTAGTGCCTACTTTGCTTCAATTTAAGCCCATTGGTTCTTATCCTATTTCACATGGATATGAAGGGCAGATTATTTTGCAGCACACTTGTGCATGTCTGAGAACTGCTGCCATGCCTTTCCCAGACTTAGTTTTCCTACACAAACTGTGGCCATTTGTTTAGTCCAACCTTCCCTTGCAAGTCCTGGGTTTTGTGAAAGCCTGGCAAAGACACTGGGATATGGTCTGGCTGTTGAGTAATTCATGACCTGGGAGAGGAGAGCACAGTGTGGCAGAGCTACCACAAGGGGAAGAATGGGATTTAGCTGCAAGCAGTCCACTTATTCTCCTTATTTTCATTTATGTTACGGGTTATCACAGGCACTGAGGGTCTCGTTATTCTATTTGTCTTCCCTGTGTTTGCTCTGAGAGAAACAGAAACCAAAAGCATTTAGTAGCTGTCAGTCTCCAAGTTTTGTAGTGCCAGGAAACCAGGCCAGCTCCAGCACATGCTGCCTACAGAAAACAACTACAAAGGAATTGCTCTGGGACCTTTTCAGAAAACATGAGATCTGCTCTAGGAATGGAACCCTGCAGGGATCAAACTGGGAATTCCAGTGAAGGACAAATCTCTGAGCAGGCTCATGGACCCGAGGAGCTGCAAGGAGTGGCTCAGACCAGATGGCTTCCAGAGGGCTCTTCAGTCATCATGTACTCATCCGTGGTTCCACTCACACCAGTTTCATTCCATTGGTCACAGCTTCTGTTGTGAGCAGACATGCAGTCCTGTGCAGATGAGCAAGGATTGTGGGCAGATTTTGCAGACCTGCAGCTGTGAGTGGAGAAAAGGTGCATTTCAGAAGCACTGCACTTTCTGGAAGGTGGACAGTTCTCTCAAGGGGTCCTTGCCTCACATTGTTGGGGCAGAATGTCCAGGTTAAAAAGATAATTTCTTACTTCCTATTTATTACTTCTTGCCATCAATGCTTTTGTTTTATGGGAGAGTGGGAGAGAAAGGTGGAAGCCCTTGGCATACATTAGGTTCCTGCTCCTACAGCTGAACTGTGCCTGGTGATACAGGACAGTGGAGCTGGGAGGAGAGAAGTTCATCAGGATGCAGTGGGGGCCACAGCTTCTTTTTTCTTGCCCTCCCTCTGGGATCTAAGGTCCCCCTAATCTCTGAAATCTTTGTGATTGCTGGGGTTTCTTCTCTGCTTGTTTTGCCTCAGACCAAGAGAGGCTTCATCCCTGTCAGCACACTCCCAGCTGAACAGAAGGACTGACCACCTGCTGCCCTGGGGAGCCATGGCAAGGCCATAAATTCTGGGGGCTGGGGAATTCAGCAGATGTAGTAATTTTACTTAAATATGTTATTGTGGTTCTTTGTTTTTACTGAACGCAAGGATAAATTGAGTTCTGGTATGAATTTCCCAGAATAAGTGCATTTCCACTGGGGATGAGCTTGGCCCCTTGTTTTTGTGCAGTAGAGCTGTGATTTGCAGTCTGCATTTTTTTATTTGAGATACATGCTGACATTATATTGCTAATTCAGGAGGGAAGAAAGGAAAAATAAGAAGAAGGAAAAACCCCTCTCCAAATAAGTCTTGGCCCTGACAGAAATCTTTCCTAGTGGAGTAAACAAAATTCAGCTGATCTCTTTTGCTGCTGCAGGGTTCAGCATCATTGGTTCCAAACTTTATCTGTCTGTCTTGTGGCAAGAGTGAAAATCAATCCCAGGAATGGCATCCTACAGTCCCTGTCTCCTTTTGCTCAAATTGTGCTTAACGGTTTAAAGATGTGCTGCTGAATTTCTCAGTGATTTATTTCATCTTCTCCATTGTCAGAGCAGAACTTTTTCAATTCAGAAATCTGGTTGCAGCCCCATACTGAACTCTTGCTCCTTTGCTGCAGAAATTTGTTAGCTGGGGCTAGATTAGATTTTTAGCAGCTAATCTGACTGCTGTAGGGGTTTGCAGAGTGGGGACAGAGCTGTGCTATTGGATTTGTCCAATTCATTTGACTCCAGGACTATAATTGCACTTATGTCTTACAAGGCTTTTATGGCCTCGGGCTGGCGAGCAGCAGAAAAACAAATTGGCAGTGATACAGTGAGAGTGAAAGGGAATGAAAGGCACACATTATCAGTCTCCAGGCAGCCCTGCTCTGGCAGGAAGTTTCTTGCTTAATTTACAAATAAAACTTAGATTTTAGGATGGGCACACAGTCAGCCAGACAATGGGGATGTCAGGCCCCACTGTTACTTAGCGAAAGTAGCAGCCATGCCTCCCCAAAAGCAGGAATTCTTCAGTCAAACAGACGACTCCTCTCTGGAGCCAGCTGGCTGTGTAATGCAATTAGAAGGGAAGGGAGGTCATGCCGGAGGTGTGCACCGTGACCAGTGTCACCCACAGAGCCCAGGGCCTGGGCTGCAGAGTGCAGCCCTGGGCAGGGACAGCAGGGCTGAGCCGGGCCTGAGCCTGGGGCCCTGTCCCAGCACCCCGTTAGCCAAACCAGGGCCAATTCCTGTGCCCACCAAAAATTCCTGTGCACCAGGGAGGACACGCTGCCAGGGCCAGAGCTGCCTTCCCTCCCAGACTGCTGTTGGGGTTTGCTTCTAAAACCAATCTGATTTCATGTCTGCTTTGGGATTTTTTTTAATGTAGCTTTTCTCTTTATTCCCCCCACCCCTAAACTGGGTGGGGAGCACATTCTGGAGTTCTGGCTCTGCACATGTTGGCCGTGGGGCTTTGGACATTTCAGCACAACTTGCTAAAGTCCTTCAGGGCACTGAGTTTGCCCCACAGCTGCTGTTTTGAATAAACAACACAGGAAAATAGCAGCTGGCTTATTGTCACTGATGAGATGATTGTAACGGCTTTTTATCAATGGAGTTACCTCTCAGTAACAAATATTTTTGATTAATGCCATTTTTTTTCCCTGTAACATTATACCTTGTAACTGTGGTGCTTAAGGATGTGTGGCTTCAAAACAAGGGCAGTAACTCAAGCTCTAAAACAAGTTGCTGGCACACACTAGGGATTGTGGCAGACTCATGAGCACAGCAAGTGCTGGTTCAGCTAAGTTCCCTTCTTCACTGAATTTTGTTCTGAAGGCTGCAGTATCAGTACAATATCAGTACAAAGTGTTTGATTATTATCAGAACAGTTCCTTGGGATTTTAAAAAGGGTCCCTCAAGCAGTATTTGGACATATTTTGATGACTGTTTTTATAGCAGTATGTGTTGTTTCTCACCCCAGAAGCCCTAGAAGGCACAGCAGTGCAGAGACTCTTCTTCAAAAGAGCTGAGCTGGGTTTGTGAATTGTCCTCTGCACCTGGGCAACGGAGCTGCCTTATGGAATTTTGTGTCCACATTTATTTCTATTTCAGCAGAGTAAGGTTTGCTGGGTGCCCCCATTGCAGGCTCTCTGTGTAGGGAAGCCAGTGCCAGAGCTGGCTTGGGCTCAGCCTGGCAAACGTGGGCACTTCCAAATCCCTGGCGGGGGTTCCCTGAGCTCAGCTGGGCTGAGCTGGGCCCATCCTGGAGTGGGACAGCCTGGCCAGGCATCCTCAGCATCTGGGACCTGCTGTGCACAAGGTCTGCTCACCCAGATGGATTTTAGGGGTGTGTCTGACTAAACCTGACATCTCCCTTCTGATCACTTTGGAGGTGACCTGGCTGCAGCTGGTCACGGAGAGTGAGATCAGGGTTTTGTCCTGTGTGTGAATTCCTGCTGCTTTTGGTATGTGTCAGTTTGTGACATTCCCAACGTGAGTGTTTTCTTGTGTGTTGCTTTGTTTTTACTAAGCTTCTGCAGAGATGTCAAGGTGACCACAAGAACAGCAATTTCTACTTGCTTTGTACATGTAAGAAGCTCTAGTAATAGTATTGTTAATGTTCCCATGTTTTTCCAAGATAAAAATGGTTCATGTTTTCTTCAAACAGAGCTAAAATTACCTTTATTCCACGGGTGTAAATAAAACAGAATTATTATCTTCTGTTTAATTTAAAATAAACTGAGAATCTCAGTCCTTCTGGGAACTGAGCTTTACTTCATTCTGCTGGAACATGAACTGTAAGCTAAGTTCACAGCTATAACTTCTAAAAATTTTTCACAGTGTGTTGGTTTTGCCATGTTTCTCTCGTGACTGAGGAGTCCAGTTTGCCACCAATACGGAGGAGTGAAAGTTTTTCCTTCTAAAGGCACTGCCTGGCTCTGAATAGGGAAGCCTCATCAGCACAGCGTAGGCTGATCCAAAGCGTGTTGGGGTTAGTTGTTATTTACCAGTGAAAATCACCACCTTCTTTTCCCTTTTTTCTCTCCCCCTACACAGAGTGAAGTAGCAGAGCTTCGTTTTGGCTTCTTTGTTCGGTCTGTTGTGCACATTGTTCCGGGGGTAGCACCAAATTGGAGGGGGGGGGGTGTCTTTTAAGCTTTAAGTGGGACTTAAAGTCTCTTTATGCTTGGAGCTGGCATTGTGTGTGTGGATTACATTTTAACTTTAAAGCTTACAGTTGAAACCATTGTGTGAGGCTTGTACGTGATTGCCAAATAGTTTTTGCCATCTGTTAGATCACCTCCAGCTCCTCCAGCAGCAGAGCAAACACACACACACACACACAGAGGCTTTCAGAGGCTTTCTGTGTATGTCATGTTTAAATTTTATCTGTATTTCATGCAGCTCTGCTCCAAATGAAAAGGTGCAACTCCCACAGTATTTCCCGTTCTTCTGTACTTCACACTGCCCAGATATTTTGCTGACGTTTCAGGCAGGAGACCCCTCCAGACACAGTCAGTGAGGAGATGTTTGTGGATAATAAATTCAGTTATAGTGGTTCATGACAGGCAGTTTCTTGACATTCTGAGTCAAGGCATTTTCATATTTCTGTGACAGCTGCCTTATTTTAGCTGGAATACAATGCTCCGTTGGTTAATGCTTTGTTCCAGTAATTCAGTTTTCCATCTTAAATCACTGTAGGTAATGTACATTTACATATCATGCTAATGGCTAGTTTGATAATGACTTAATTAAGCCATCAGACAACAATGAGTTCTAAATGAAGCAAATTATTGAGCCGATGCTTTCATGAGCAACTGGAGAAAAACAATATTTTAACTTTTCCGTAATGAAATATTCCTGCTATCGAGCATTGTAATTCAATTTGTGAGCCGTGACCCCTGGTGCAGCGTGGTTATCACAGGGATTAATAAAGAGCCAATTTGCTGTTGCAGCTCCGTCACTTGGGGAATGACGAGGTGCACATCGTGTGGTCCGAGCACACCCGCAACTACCGCAGGGGCATCATCCCCACCGACTTCGGGGACGTCCTCATCGTCATCTACCCCATGAAGAACCACATGTTCTTCATTGAGATCATGAAGAAACCCGAGGTACGTTCTGGCTGCCTCGCTGGCCCTGCTGTGCTGTGCCACTGAGCAGCAGTTGTGTTGCTTTCAGCTGGGCTCAGTGGTTTAGAGTTTGGGGGTTGTTTTTTCCCAAATCACTCTGTCCATGTCAGGTGAAGGATAAGCTGAGCAATGAGCTGACTTTAAAACTGGACTTACTCACGGTGATCAGAGTGATTGCTCATTCGTTTTATAGCCATACTTAGTGCTGAGTGAAACACTCCAGAATACTCAACCCACAGAAGTTACTGGGCAAAGAACAGTATTTAAGCCATTGTGGATGTCCTCTGAGGCAGTGAAAGCAAACCATTCATTATTTGAGTTCCTTGTGTGGTGCTGGGTCACTGCTGTACACACAGCACCGAGCAGAACCTCACACGTCTGTGGGACTGTCATTGTCACCTGACTGGGTGGGATGATGCAGACACTGGACATCCTGTCATCAAACAAAGTATGAGAGGTTCACAGCTGAGACTTTTTTGGGAAAAAAAAAGGCATTTTTTTGCAAAACGTCAGAGATGTGTGTATGTACATCTGTGCATGTGTGTGAAAAAGCCACTGCAGTAAATACTAGTCTGGTACATTACGGATGCAAAAATATGAGTAAAATATACTTTGTGCAAGTAGTCATTGTGATAAATACCCTTAGCCTTATAGGAGGGACAGTGTTTGTCCAAAGGAGCAGCCAACTGTGGTAAATGCCTCCATCATATCCCATATTGACCAGGTGTAGACACTATTTTTTGAGTTGTGCGTGATGGAGTTGTTGGGTACTGACAACCAACAGTACCTTGTCAGTAGACATTTCAAACTTGAAAATTTTCTAGTAGTGGGTTGTTGGGGTTTTTTTTTTTTTACATATGGTGTTGAGCTGTGCGGTTTAGTTTTCGAGCATTTTGGCTTTTAGCTTTTTTTAATGTTCCATCAGGGAAATGAGAATTTAGCGTTAGGAACACGCTTGAGACTTCTCTGGAGCGATGGAGAAAAGCTGTGTCATCTTTCATATTAGTCAAAACCACCCAACGGGCAGCCAGAATAAGAGCTAACTGGAAATTTAGTGTTATCCCTACATTTAAAGTACAAACCATTACAATGTAATAAAATTAATCCAGACATTTCCAGGGCAAGTGTGGCTGACCTTTTGTTCACCAGCTACTGACCCCAGGGTGAATGAACGAGCCTTGCAGAGAGAAATGTCTGTTGTTTGGCTTCAGTCCCTGGCATTTAAATTGCATTCCCTAATCGAATGAAAAGGCTGTCCTCTCTATCAGGTTACAGAATCCATGGCAACATTTGGCCTTTTATATCCATAATGTTAGCCTTTTTGTTTGCAGCCAAGTAGAGACACCTGGAGCAATGTTAACATTAACCGCTTTAGCATTAATAGCTTCATTATAGAAGAATTTCTGATCAGATAGCTGTTACTTTTGTTATATTGCTTCAGCTTGTATTGTTTTCATTTTTGATCTCCCTGCTTGGCAACCCGGCAATGATTTGCAAATTTTTTTGTCTTGATTAATTAAGCAATATAATTATCAGGAACTGTGCTGCAGTCTTTGCCCGACAAAGCTTGGGAGGGAAGACAATAGTAAGTCTGTTAGTGTGAATGCATTCCACGCGTCACAGATGCACGAGGATATTGGGAACAATGAGAGGAAAAGCTGCCTGCGAGAGGGGACAAAGCATGCCAGGCAAGCTCCGCACTGCACATACCGCCAGGGACATGCTGCGGGTTCCCTGGGACACAGATGCCTCGTTAGATTGCAGCTCGTCATCAGAGATTAATTCTCAGCCATTTGGTACAATAATTTACCCATTCCCCACTCTTTTAACTAGTGCTGCTTGCTGTAGAGGGGAAGTCTTTGTGCTCAGAAGGTTTATTTAACCTTGCCTACTTTTACTGCGGGCAACAGAAATAATGATTTTGCTGTTGGAAATTGGAACGAAGCAGGTGTTTGCAGTGGGCTGAATATTAATTTTTGCTTCACGGATAACTTGCAGTGACATTTGGAGTACTCACAGAAGGGGATCTTTCCCTCTATTTTTTTTTTAATTGATTCCTGTCAAAGCAGGCTGTTTGTTTGTGGTGGCCACTGAAGCCCTGCTCTCGCGGGCAGGGTGTTGGGTGCCGGACTCGGAGCGGAGCCGAGCGGGGAGCGTGCCCTGCGCGTTCCGCTGGCCTCCCCCCAACCCTTGTTAGGGCAGGGCCCCCGTGCAGATGGAAGCTGAGGAGATGCAGCTCCAGTGACTTTAATGACCCTTGGCGAGGCCACTGTGTGTGCTGGGGAATGAATAATTCCGAGCCCTGTGTGCATCCGGCTCGGATCGAGGCGGGCTCCGAAGCCCTCGGCTCTGCTGCTGCTCCTCTCCCTGGCCAGGATACACTCACCCTGTCCCTGGGTTGCATCTGTAAATTCTGTGGTGCAGTGGTGAGAAAGTCTGCCCTGCTCCCCAGCTCCTGGTGAGTGTGAAACCGTGAATGCAAGTGCTGTAAGCAAAACCTACTTGTCCAAAAAGCCCAGCAGGGAATTTCCCTGCCCCAGTAGCATCTGCTGATCTGACTTTACATATCTGGTATTTGTGTGGTGGTATCACTTCAATACTAGTATGTACTTAACGTCCTTATCTGTATTTTTTGCATTCTTTTCTCTTGCTGTCAATGCTTCCAGACAGTGCATGGGATAAAAATTTTACTTAAAAACATTACTGCCTAGAGAGGCAAAACTTGATGCTCCATAATGTTATCATTTTGGTGGCATTGATTTTCCTCTGTCCCCTTCCCTTCCAACTGCCTGGATAGTAATGCCAGCAGAAATGAAAAAATTGAAAAGAAGGCAAAACCACTATGGAAACATTTTTCACTTTTCTGTTTTATTGGAGAGTGGGTAATTATTTTAAGTAAAGGAATGACAGAATAAGTGTGTGCACAGACAGCTGTCATTTCCAGATGTTACATTTAACCAAAATTTCTTCTGTAATTCATTGCCACTTCTAATTAGAGGAATTCCCTAGATGCAGGGGATTTATATTATTCCCTTTGTCCATTTATTGAATGACTGTCACAGTCACCCACAAGCAGTTGGAGAAGAATAATAGAGGGTATTTATTTATGTGATAAGCCTCTGTACAGATGGAAAAAATCCGTAGCTTAAATATTGATAATTGTTGCTGGCTTCTGTCTAGGGCTTTAGTTGGGGGGTTATTTTTTTTTTCATTTTGAGTCTCTGAGAGGGAAATTAATTTGAGTACTTGCAAGTACTGAAAGTTGTGCATTTAAACATCAAAATTTTCTGGGTTGGGCAGGCTCAGGTCTGTTTTGTGTCTGCAGTTCTGGACAGGGTTTATTTTTAGAAAGCATCTCTTGTTCGTAGTGTGGTCTTTATCTGCAGAGCCTCAAGTCACCAGAGAATGTCACACAGGGGTTTCCTGTGGAGGTGGCCCTGAAGGAGCAGCATTTGGGCACCTTGACCCACTGGGCCCACTTGTGCCTGTCCCCACCCTGTGTCCTGCCCTTGAGAGAGCCCCTGCTCTGTCCTCTCCTCTGCCTTCCACACACCTCCTGATCTTGGACCAGCTCAAGGATTTTTTTCTCTTCTATGAAGTCCATGGAAGGAGTTTATAGAGGATTATCTGAAGTAAATACGTATTTGCAAAGCCTCCTGCCAATGTTGGAGTCAGCCAGTGAATCAGGGTCTCCTATTGGGATCCCAGATGGAAAACAGCTCCTAATATTCACTGCCAAAGGCATATTGATTGCAAATTCATAGATGGCCCCAGTTTCTACGTGTACCAAGCTTGTGCTTAGCCAGCAGAATGTTCTGAGACCTGTGTCTGTGTAGTGTGCTGAGGGCAGTCACGGGGGATTTAAACACTCACCAGCTTGTGAGATGAATGTCACACTGCAAGTCTCAGCGTGGAAAACAACGTGGCCACGCTGTTTTCGTGTCAAAATGCTGTACCAGTCTCCTGCAGTGGTTCTGAAGCCTGCTTTTCTCTTTTGGGGTGCCCAGGTGCCGTTTTTCGGTCCCCTCTTTGACGGTGCCATCGTGACGGCGAAGCTGCTGCCCAGCCTGATCTGTGCCACGTGCATCAACGCCAGCAGAGCCGTCAAGTCCCTCATCCCACTCTACCAGAGCTTGTATCCTTTTCCAGCGGGGCAAGGCTCCCCTTGGTAGGGTTCCCACTTGGAGCATCATCCTGCAGAGAGGTAGGTTGGGATGAAAATCCCTCCTGTTTGATTTTATTAGGAAAGGTCAGAGCTTTCTTTGCATGCAGCTGGATGTTCTCAGTGGCTCAGGCACAGGTGCCATGCGGTGTTTTCCAAATTGGAGTGGTAATAGCACTGGAGTCTCTCACCAGCAGCTTCCACCTCACTGCTGGTGGGCTTGGGCTTTGATCTGTGAGAAAAGGTAACTCCCAGCTTGCTTTCACACTGATAGAAGTTGTGGATTGTGTATGTCAGGCTGGTAGCCAGAACTCAGCCATGCTCTTATCCTATCCAATTAACTTTACTTGGACTCAATACATTAATAAGGCAGATGGGATTTGTCCTCAGATACAGATGTTTCACGTCCCTAATTCCAGTTTCTTTCCAGTCACAGCTGTGTTTGGGCATTTTCAGAACCTGTTTTCCACCAGTGGCTGGAAGGTAGCTGGACATGTGCTTCTCTGGGACAGGAGTTGTGACACAGACTGTGGTTCTTGAGTGCTACTCAGAGTTAGCACTGGTTTGCACCCATGCTGGGGTCTTCTCATAATGCCATCATAGATTTCATAGCTGGTTTTGCCAATCACATCACTTACCTCAGGACAAACACTCACTGCACTTTGCTTTTCCTGGGGAGCATTTGATTTGAGTATTTTTCTAATCACATGACTTTGAGAAAGAGTTTATGAAATATTTTGATCTTTGAAAGAACATTGAGGAATTAGTTTAAGATGCACATTTTTAAAACATAGAATATCCTCAAAGTGCTTGTTAGGGTTTTGTTTTAAAAAACTAAACAAAAATAAATAAATTTTAACCAGTATACGTTGCAAAAGTAATCAGAAATTAAAAGTATCATTGTAGTTAAGTAGATTTGTGTTAATAACTGTTTACTTGTTGTAAAGCAAATGGTGGTGGTTGTGCAAACTGTGGCAATGCCTGACAGGTGAGTCAAGGCTGGCTCTGTTTTCTTCTGTTTCTTGAGAGAAATGTAGCAAATTCCTGAAACTGTGCTGTGCAGAATTTAGCTTAACCTGTGTGTTTCTCAGTGTTCAATACTAAAGTAACAGTGTATTAAAATGGACATAAGTAGCAGCAGTTACAAGAGCGAAGCTGTCCCATCCCCTCACTCCCAGCTGGAGTCCTCCCATGTTTTGGCATTGAGCATTTTGTGAGTGAGCAGCACTCACCAGCTGGCCGTGCTCCTGCTGTCCAAGGGGGTGTCCCTGAGGGTCCCTGTGCATCCCTGGGGGGACAGAGCTGCACAGACACTGCGGCACAGGGCACTGCTCTGCACAGGTCTGAGGCAGCATCTGTCCCTACATTCTTGTCCGCCTTTTTCTGCGTCTGCTTTTGCACCTGTGCTGTCCATAGTGAATCAACTGCCACTTGTCTGTCTGATAAATGAAAATGGATTGAGAAACTCCTGAAATGGCACAAAGGGGATGTGGTGGGCAGATCCCTTTGGGGCCACACTGGAGCAGGAGAGAAAGCTATCTGTAATTCATTCCCTAGATAGTGCAGACTCTGAGATGCACTACAGCCAGCAGCTGGAATGTGAGTGTGTAGATGTGTAAAGGTGATGTTGGGCCTGTCCAATGCAGCTCCCAAAGGGTGAGTGATCCAGGTCCAGTGTTTGCTGTGCCAGCTGCTGTGAGCAGGACACGAGGCAAGCAGACCCAGCAGTGCAAACAGTAAATGGAAGTGCCATTATCAGACTGGAGATGGAAATAACTCAAAAAATATCAGTGAGAGGGAGAAATAGAAAGCAATGTCCCTGGCAAAGTGAGGGATGATGTTTGGCACACACCAGTCATACCTGCAGTTGGGATAAGGACTGCAGGCTGGAGTGAGGCAGATCTAAGGAGGATCTGCAGCTCCTCTTTGGCTCATGGGTCATGATAAAAGGCAACATCCCTGCTAAGGGTCCATAACTGAAGATGTTTGGACTCCGGTGTGGTTACAAACAGATCAAACACTTCAGCTGGTGTCAGTGGTTCTGTGGGGATGAGGTGCTGCATCCATGCTGCAGCAGTGGCAGGGTGTGAAGAACCTGCAGAGACTCATCCCTGTTCTGCCCTGGTGGTGCTGGGAAGCCGGGGCAGCATCTTGCCAGCAGTGACAGCTGAAGTCACTTGTTGGAAAGTCTGTAAACTCCGGCTACAGCTGCACTTGTCAGGGGCTGTAAGGGAAGTGTAATCAGCCACAGAGATTAATTTGCATCTCAATTAGGAAAGAGTCAGGAGGAAGCTGTAGGGTCTGTTGCTGGAAGGTTGTGGAAGAAATCTCATCAGGCACAAAAGGCTCCCGACTTGGTGCTCCATCGAGCGGAGGACAATATCAGAGTCTGGTTTCCATGGGGACCGGGACCGCAGAGCCGCGGGAGCATCTCGCTGCCCGCAGCCTCTTGGTCATGATGACACAAATTCCACTGCCGTGCCCAAATACAGATTTCTCTTGGAAATCTCTTTGAAAATTAGGAAGGTAACTACGGCAGACCACATCAGATTTTTTTTAATCTCTTTTTTTACGTTTATGTAACGCTTTTGGTTTTAAGGAATTCATTAGGGCAAGAGATTCGTTAAAATATATTATTAAACTTATATAAACTCTTATATTTAAACTTCAGATTAGTTGTTCTGCTACAGGTTCTTTGTGTCCATGGAAGGGCACATGATGGCACTCCCAGGGTGCTGCATGCACAGCTCAGTTGTCTTTGGAACAGCGCTGTCTCTGCCACTGCCGCAGTGCTTCCATGGGCGGGGATGATTGTGCATCAGTTTATGTTCCAAATTCCCATTTTATTCCTCCTTGGTGCCATGGAGCAGAGAGGCTGAGTGGCTGCAGCCCCTGCTAATTGGGACTCTTGCCATCCTTGAGTAACTGCTGAGCATGAGGCAATGTGCTCCAGCAGCCTCTCCAGGCTGCTTTTTTCAGGCAGTGTCTGACTTTTAATGTGACTGGGACTTACAGAAATCATAAGTAATAAGATTACTTCAATTTTACAAGAACAAAAAATAGTATTTAACTATAATTGTTGTATTGAAAGGAATTTATTTATGCAGGTTTTTGAGTGCATCCAAGCCTCTTTTGTATGTGCTGTGGAAAGAGGAACAACCTCTCTTGCAAACAATTAATTACATGTCATAACTAAGCAAGGGTCTGTTGTGTTTCTAGCAATACTGAATTTTTCAAAAACTGGTGAGAGTGGGGCTGCAAAAGTGCATCTCTGAACGCTCTTCCAGCTTGTGTGAAACAAGCTGTGTGCTGGGAAGGATTTCTGAACACTTGTGTGATCTGGAGTGCCGTGGCACTCAGCTGCAGCAGAGCTCCTCTCTGGGAGCTGCTCTTGTCTGAGGATAAATACCGGGGGAAAACAGGGTTTGGATTGAAGTATTACAGCTCTGCTGATTGAAGATTGGCAGCTGCTGTCTAAGCTGACAGTTCCTAAGCTCAGGTGCTAGTCAGCCTTCAGACATGAAAATGTAGCTAGTTTGGCAGGTTATCAGGCCTTTTGGTTGGCCCATAATTCAGTCCTGGTCTCCAGAAAGACACTGGGATTTGGAGATAGTGATGTCTGAGCAAAAAGCTCCTCCTAGAATGCCCAGGGAAATGCAATTCTCACTGCTCAGGTTGTCTTTCCAAATGGAGCCATTTCTTTTCTCCTTGGATTGAATTGGTTAAATTTAAAAATTGTTTCAGTGTTATTTTGAGTATCTCACCACTTTGTTTTTGTATTTCCTCCACCATTTCAAATAACTCTTGTACTCTCAGTCCTTCCTGACTGGGATGCTAAGTGAGTTTAGAGAAGAGTAGGAAATACCCCATCGTGTCTGAAACGTTACCTCAGCTTTGAGGAGCTCTTTGTAATCTGCCTTGGGGAGGATGGAATGTGTCCTGTGTGCCAGCACCAGTGGGCTTCTTCCCTGTGTGTGTTTTTCAGTGACTTCTGGTAGTCTTCAAGTTGTGTCCTTAGCAATTCAAGCTACTTCATGTACTTCCTGTGAATGGGTAAATAGGGAGCTAGCTCTTGTTGGGGTTTATTAAGGCACTGATTATAAAATTATCTCTGTGCACAATCTCACTCTTGGGATGAGTTGTTTGTTCTTATGGGCAGCAGAGGGGTTTGACCTCATGCTGCCTGTTGACTCCTGCACTCCACTTTGCTGTGATACATCAGGCTCTGGAGGTGTCTGTGCATCGGGACAAGCACAAATGAGCATGGTGGGGATGAGAGCTCCTTATGTAATATCTGAGCACTGGATGTCACCATTTCCCAGCTCACGGTTTGCACTCCTCTTTGTGGACCTGAGGAAAACACAGCCCTTACCCGGGAGAAGTAATTTGATACATGAGTAATTCTGTCACTGTTTTCTCCACTGTAGTGGCAGTGGTGTGCTGGCTGACGTGTGCCAGCCAGCAGCTCACTGGGGTAAAGCCAAAACTCCATTTAAACGCATAACTAAAAAGACATTCATAACTTTAATTCATTACAACTCTTCCAGATATTGACATACTAATAGATCCTGGATGTGTTAATATCTGGAACCAAGAAGATTAAGCCAAGAACATCAGCTTCAAATTCTGAATTAAATCCCTTTCTTGGCTTAAGCCAATTTCTGATTAACCTAATAGAGAGTGCCCAATCTGCTTACCTGCTTTATCTGTGAAAGAAAGGTATTTGCTGTGATGGACTTAATTGTGTGAATGGCTGTCAGATGTTCTGGAGGCTCGTGTGGTGTCAGACACGTTTTGTGTCCCTCTCAGTGTGTGTTTGGTGGCACTGGCATTTGGAGCTCTGCTGTGGGTACAAGGCAGTGTTTGATCCTGCCGGGGAAATGAGATGGAAAGCCTGTTATTCCTTTCAGAGAGGGTTCACAGTTTGTCCCCTTTATTTCATCCAAAGAAGTGGTGCCCTCCAGCTATATCGA